TTAAAAATCTGTAAAATTCGATGCAGTATTGAGTCCTTACAAACGAATATGAAATAGAAAACTGCTAAAAGATGCTAAACCAGAATCCTCGCACACAAGTTTAATCTGAGAAATTCCAGAATTACGTAAAACCTAAAAAGAACAATGATCATGATGTTTAATTTCCACTAAAACCTTTTCCAAATGATGAAGTCGTGCTAGGTACTGGACCATGGAAATCTTACGGCTATTTACTTTTACTCTGTAAAATGGTTCATTCTATCTCGTTCGGATAATGCAAAAATTTTAAAAGAACCATTGAATTTGGTTATGTATCTGTTACTTTGGAGTTCCATAAGGTTTTACACTTGGACCTTTAATATTCTTGGTCTATTTAGATTTAAAACTAAATAGTTCCTGGAATAATTTGTGAAAGATTTACCGAAACAACATAACTTCTGAACTATTTAACCTTTCAGATTGAAAATACCGGTAGATCAAACCCCATATTCATGAGTTCCGTTCACCATCAACCTGACAAGGAACATACGCATCAATAACATCGTATCTTAAGCAAATAAATCATTAGGCTTCATGAGAAGAAATATCAATATACTCCCGAAAGAAAGGAAAATAAGGCATACAAAGTTATTGAAAGATCAAATTTAGTATCGCCAGAAGTGCTTGGAATCCATACCAGGAAAATCTCATAAAAAAATTAGAAATAGTGCAAAAAAGATCAGCGAGTTTCATTCAACATTAAATACAGTAGACATTATATCAGTCACTTTAGGAATTGAAATTACCGTCATTAGAAACCAGACAAAAACTCAAAAAGCTCTGGTGTTTCATAACTTAAGGCACTATAATTAAAACATAAAAAGTCATCATAAAATAGCCATAAATATGCCAGATAATATAGAACCAAGGTAAATTCAGAAATATTTTAACAACAACCAACACTCACAAATACAGATTCTTTTCTCGTATCATCAAAGGCTGGAACAAAAAAAACTTAAATAAAGATGATGCAGAGGCATTTAAGAATAGCCTCACATTTTATTTTATAGAGTTGTCAAGCAAGAATATAATAATTTTAATTTGCACATGTAAATCACCATATTGAATGTCTGATTTAGTACCTGCGTGATGGATACTAAGACTCTGCATTTCAACGACCAAGTAATAGACAAAAATCAAATGCATCTATTAAATGTTGTCAAATTGAACAGTTAAGTCGGATAAACTTTCGGTCGACTAACCGGTTAAAACGCCAATAAATTTCACACAGGTACAATTCAAAGGAAATTGGGTGTGGTGACGGGGTGGGGGGGAGGCATCGGCGCAATACATCTGATTGAGTAAGTGTACCAACTATAGAAAGGATGCCCAATATATAAATAAAATCCAATAGTCAAATAAATTAACTTGGTAATAATCTTCGGAAATTCTTTTTTTTTTTTCGCTTCTTTTTCCATGCGGTCGCCATGTGCTTTTGTATTTCAGTCAGCACACGTTCAAAAATAATTCATAATTAACGTCACCTTATGACGAAACACCTTAAATGCGTTAGTAAAACCAACAAATATTCTTCAAAGGTTTAAATATTTATCAATACTCCCTGACAATAATTAAGATTATCAATCTCTTTTGGTTTTATATTGGAGTTCAATTGTCTCCTGCCTTCCTCCTTGGATCCAAATTGAAAAAGGCTCGTTACGTCAGATTTAAAGGTTCAGTAACCACCAATGAGATTATGGTATAAATGTATACGTAAACTCACTAATAACCAAACAAAACAATAGGGTACAGCGCACCGTGATAACTGAATTTAAGTACAAGACTTAAATTCTAATAATGCATGACATAAATCATCTTTTACCTATTCTTTCTAAATTGACTATATAAAAGACTTAATTTACTTAAAGTTTACTCATTTTTAACAGTTCTGACTAACAATGAATTTATGTTTTAAAGATGCAAATATATCATCGCACATTCATTGTAGGTACCGGTTTGCCATGAAAAGAATCAACAAAAAAACACAAAGTAGTATAAAAACAATGCCAATCGTGGTTTATGAAGACTGTTAAAAATGAAAAATACCTATACTTAAGAGTTGGAGTTAAATAGTGGAAATACAAATATAATGTATATCGCGTCATCTAGAATACAAATGCAACAATATAAAGATACTTGCAGAACGAAGACACATCATGCATACGAAATAAGTCAAAATTAAAAGAACAGATTTATAACTAGCTGATATCAAGTTGAAATTTAAACACAAGAAATGGAACTCTTTATTAAAGACGGTAAAAAATGCCAATTTGGTATATTTGATTTGATTTGTTTACATCTGTTTCTTTTGGCTTTAAAAGTTAAATGTATGTGTATAATTTAGGATTTTGTACATCTTATAACGTGTTTTTACCTAAAATATAGTAAAGAACTTCGAGATATTTGACATATACCCCCACGACACTTACTAAAGAGGAAATCCTGGATAATAATAGAGGTCTGTTCTATGTTCCTTTGGAATTTCAACCAAAGATGAAGAACTGAATCTTCCATCACTGTATTGGATACCTAAACTATATAAGTGTCCTTACAAACAACGGTATATTGCTGGGTCTTTCAAGTGCTCCACGAACCTCTTTCTAAATTATCAACATCAATTTTATCAGCAATTAAAGCCGGGCTTCAAACTTATTTTGAAACTACCTATTTTAGAGGTGGCTTGAATCAGATGTGGATACTAAAAAAATCCAAATATCTTTTAGAGTACATACGATCTAAGACTCTTTCATCTTGTAATAGTATTAAAACATTTTACTTTTCTACACTTTACACAAGTATTCCCAATTTCAAACAAAAAGACAAATTTAAAGAGTTGGTCCTGCTTTGTTTCATAAAAAAGAATGACCAACGTAGATACAAGTATCTTGTCTTAGGAAGGGATAAATCCTACTTTGTAAAAAATCACTCTGATTCTAACAAAAAATTCTCTGAAATTGACATTATCAAGATGCTTGATTTCTTGGTTGACAACATATTTGTTACGTTTGGAGGACGTGTTTTTCAACAAACAATCGGCATTCCCATGGAAACAACTGTGTCCCCTCTTCTTGCCGACTTGTTCCTTTATTCATATGAGGCTTACTTCATGCAGGAACTTATTAGGAAGAAAGAAAAGAATTAAGCAGTATCCTTTAACTTTACTTTCCGCTACAAAGATGATGTTCTCTCACTAAATAATTCAAAACTATGTTGAACGCATCTATCCCATCGAAATTGAGATAAAGGATACAACTGATACAGTTAAGTCTGCCTCATATCTTGACTTACATCTAGAAATTGACAATGAGGGTCGGTTAAAAGCAAGACTTTATAACAAAAGAGATAATTTCAGCTTCCCAATTGTGAATTTTCCATTTTTATGTAGCAACATTCCAGCAGCGCCTGTATACGGAGTATATATCTCCCAGTTGATACGATACTCCAGGTCTTGTATTTACTATCTTGATTTCCTTGACAGAGGGTTGCTGCTCACAAGGCAGCTATTAAACCAAGAGTTCCAAGTGGTGAAGTTGAAATCATCCCTTCGTAAATTTTGCGGACGCCATCACGAGTTGGTTGACCGTTACGGAATATCCGTTTCACAGATGATAGCGGATATTAACTACAATCCCGTCCCCTTTTCCCGAATGTGACCTACCGAATTAGACTTATTACCGGCGTTTGTACTAACATGAACAACACGACGGGTGCCACATGTGGAGCAGGATCTGCTTACCCTTTCGGAGCACCTGAGATCACCTCCAGTTTTTGGTGGGGTTCGTGTTGCTCAGTCTTTAGTTTTCTATGATGTGTTTTGTGTACTATTGTTTGTCTGTTGGTTTTTTTCTTTTCTAGCCATGTCAGTGTATTTTCGACTTATGAGTTTGAATGTCCCTTTGGTATCTTTTGCCCCTCTTGTAAACTTTTTAAAAATTAAAGACAAATTTTCACAAAACAGTTGATTGTGATAGGTGCAAATAGATAAATAAAAGATTTTGCATCTATGTGCCCGCTGACAGTTTTTTTTTTTTTAAATCCTAAAACTGAACAATGATTTCATCGAAGAGAGAAAGTCGAGTACCCCTTTCATGTTCAGGCGTGTTTGAGTTGACTTGTTTGTCTTGAAAACGTTTAAAGCAAAAACAAAATGTATACATCATCTCGCTTCAGATTCTATTATTTTTTTATATTTAGGGTACAGATTGACATAATAACATTCACAGTACTAAAAAAAATGAAATATATGGGTCAAGTGAAATACCTTTCTAATGAGTCATACCATCAGAGTATGTGTATTTGAATGACAAATCTTTACTTGACGACAGGCTTTACTTGTGGACCACTAAATATTTAATAAGATTTTTTTTAACTTTTGAAAAATCCCCCTGACACCCGATCAGACAATAGTTTTTAGTTGACTAAAGGCCTAAAAGTACATAAAATGATGCTTACTAGCTATAAAATACATTTGTCTTTTAAAATACAATTGCCATATAAGAATCGTAATGATGCTATGTGGATAAATTTATCGGTTTTCAAGAGCTAAATTGACAGCGTGTCATCCCTACAATAGCTTCCATTTCTACGATTAAAAAATTAGGATTAGATAATTTTGACGAAAGTTGAATCCTGACTGATTAGTTAAAATTGGTTTTTCATATACAGCCAAGTTGATCAATGAATCTGTTACTGACATGTCGGTCTATTAATACCGATGGCGACTTATTATGTCTCTTGACATAACAACCGTATCATCAAATGTAAATTTAAAAAATAAACGGTAACTATAAAATTATCTTCATGAGTGCAAAAATTCAACTTCTTCTATGTATGAACTTCCTGTAAGTAGGAGTATTTACCATAAGTAAAAACATTATGTACAGCACATACCATATGACACCAAGATTTATTTTACATGGCATATTTACGGGGACTTATTTTATTCAAAATTACTACTCCAAACGTACATGGTGACTTGTTTATTGATTAATATGTAGTACTTCCTTATTGTTACTGTATATTAATTGAAAGCTGGGGGGAAATCGTTTATAACTTAAAAAATTATAAAACAGTGTAAGAATATATATGGCTTCCCAGAATATAGAAATGAAGGATTGTAAAGAAAGCAGTATATTAGAACACGAGCATATCTACGACAGGCTTAATATTGGCAATGAGCTTACACTGTCGTGGAAGCAATGGCTCAAATTTTTATTACTGACACTGACTGTATGTTTGGTGTTTTCTGGATTGGTACTAGCTGTAACTTATTTTACATTGCATGGTAAGTAAACATAAATATCAGTTTAATCATGTACATGTTTCTTCATGTTCTTGCAGCTAAAAAAAAATCTTGTAAAGTTTTATATTTTTACCTAAAAATTACGTAAATTCATCAAAAACATTTGTTACTTGATAGATATATCGGGCAAATGTGTATGCGGGGAAACTAGACACATTATATTTTGAATAAGAGTTTTCTACCTAGAAAGCGATTGGCAAAATTCAAATTACAAACAACATGCTCAATATTGTTGAACTATAATTATCATTTATTCCCTTGTTGTTTATCGATGGAGACCACATTTTGCCCTTCACATGTCGTCTTATATTTTTTAAGTTTGGTTTGGGTGGGGGAGGGGGTATTGTATTATGTTCTGTTCTTTCTACAATGGCGTTTTTTTCTATTTCATCGGCTAATAAATTAACAAACTCATTTCAGCTGAACTAAGAGTGAACATGGAGAAGACTTATGAAGTCCTGATGAAAACACAAAACTGTTCCGCTACAGAGACTCATGCTCTGACATCTGAAAAAGGTTAGTATAAAAGAAATATGGCGGTATGATATGATTGTCAATGATACAACTATCCAGTATAGTCAAATGATGTTGATGTAAGCAACTATAAGTAACCCTCAGCCTTCAACAATGAAAGCAAACTTATTGTGGAAAAAACAGCAATATAAACTTGACAAGATGGAAATTAAAGCAGTTCAAACGAGATAACCAAAGGTTTGATTTAGGACAAAACAATTAACAAACAAAGAAAGATGACAGATACTAACCAACGACAACCACTACATAACTCTAGACTTTGCACAGACATATTAAGAATTACATGAGACAGTGATTTAACAGCACAACGTTAGAAGTATATACTTTCATAAAATATTAACTTAATTGATACGAAAATGAACACATTGTCACTTTGTGTCATCAATCAGACCCTTATTCAAATTTTGTATTTTTTTACATTTCTGAAATTAATTTTATATCAAAACTGTTGATTATATGACTGCAGATATTTATCGTAACACCAAAAGTAATGTTTCTTGATCAAACGTTTTATCAATTTTGATCGACGATACGCTCGGTCAAACTTGATATAACATTCATTTAGCGTTGATATGCCTAATTTTATCCGCGCAACATAAGAAAAGAAGAAATAGACTATATCATATCTGGGTCCTAGATTCGGCTGTTTAAAACAAAGAGGCAGAAGATAACAAAGGTATAGTCAAACTCATAAGTCGAAAACGACCTAACAATGCCAAGGAAAAAAAACCGACAAACGACTAAAAGACAAACAAGAGTCTACAAAACACTACATAAAAAAGAGGGACACGAACCCCAACAAAAACCGAAGGTGCTCTCGTGTGCTCCGGAAAGGTAAGCAGATCCAGCTTCACACGTTGCACCCGGTGCGTTGTTCGTGTTAGTACAGATCCGGTGATACATCTTATTCGATAGGTCACATTCGGGGACAGAATTGAGGCTACGACAATCGGAACATCTCCGTCGTAATCTGTGAAACATATATTCCATAAAGGTCAACCAAAACGAGATGGCGTAGGTAAATTTTTCAAACTGATGAGTTCAACTTTACAACTGGGAACTATTGCTTGAGAAACTTCATTATAAGCAGCAACCCTTTATCAAGGAGATCATGATTGTAAATGCAAGCTATGTAAAGTCGTATCAACTGCTATTTATATATATATATACACTCCATAAGCAGGCGCTGCATGTATGTTGCTACCCAGAATTGGAATATTCACAATTTAGAAGCTTAACTCACCTTTTTTGAGGTACAGTTGTGTTCATCTTTTAAATGTAATTCAAGGTTTTAGGCAAACCAAACTGTTGTATCCTTAATTTCAAGTTCGATGGGATAGACATGATAGATGCGTTCAACATAGTCACCAACCTTTGAATTTTTCAGTAAAAGGGCATCATCTTTTATAACGGAACGTGAAGTTAAAGGACATTGCTAGCTTACGACGTCATGAAATAATACACAACTATTGACTCCTTCAGAAATTAATGTAAAAAATTATTAAATCGAGAAAAGCTAATTTCCCAAGGTCCATAGAACTGAATGAAAATAACCTTTTCAAATATGATAGTTTTGATATTAACTCTTGATGAGGAATAGAGAGGTGAAAGATATCAAAGGGACATTAAAAGTCATACGTCGAAAATAAGCTGGCACAATCCAAACAGATCATTTTTATTGTCGCAATTGCCTTCCAGCAAATATGGGCTTATTTTTTCCACGTACATATTCTGAAACAGTAATTTTGCGTTCGCGCAGTTTCCGTTAAAATGGAAATTTCGAGTGATCATTTCCTTAGGGGTTACTAAAGTAAAGTATTATAATATACAAATAGTTATTGCCTCTATCAAAAGTTACTATCCAAAATTTTAAAGATTTCCACAAGATCCACACGGCAAAGAGATCACTTTGACCGTCGAAGATAATTCGGATCGTCTATATTTTGTGAGAACCAGGTGGATGCAAAACACTTAACATGATACGAATTTTAAAAACTTCACATTAAAACAAATTTTATATTGCACTCACTCTCCTGTTAATATTTATTTTACACAACTGTTATTTTATAAAATAGCCTAAATATTCATTTGTTAAAATTATAATGAAATCGGTTTTTCTTTTTTAGAAAAAGAAGAAACCTTCAAAAAACCGGCATTTTTTGCACGTTTAAAGCCACCCAATCGCTCAGTGACCCTTAAATCTAACAACGTAGTTAAATTTAATGCTATTACGACAAACATCGGGAGTGGATACGACTCAAATACCGGAGTGTTTACGGTTCCACTCAATGGGACCTACGAATTTGCAGTAAATTACGTCAAAGGTGATAAAATGGAGTGGCTAGAACTGCAACTGATGAAGAACAACATAAGTATTGTACGTAGCAATGCTGCTTATGATAAGTATTCATCGGGATCTCTTCAGGTTATACTGGAATTGGAGGAAAGGGATCAAATCTATGTCATTCAGCCACGTATTTCAGGGACACTTTATGGAGATAATTTTACCATGTTTTCTGGTCATTTTATATGAGTAAAGTGCATCAAATATAAATTTGTATCGTTAATTTGATTTTTCTCATTTCACTTTTTTAAAGCTTGATAAAATGAGGTATAGTAAAACAGTTGAATATAAGATGAAAACAAAACAAAAAACAAAAAAGTTACGATATTCATTACTTATTCACACTTTCTTCTACTCGTAATTTGATAAGGTTTGGTATTCATGAATGTAAATGTTTCTCTCGCAAATGATTTTGATTTGTCAATCCAACTGCTTTGAAACGAGCGTCTCTACGGAGTCTTATATAGAGTATGACATCTAAGACTGGTATCTTTAATGAGGTTGTTTTCCAGATTTGACCAATGCTCTTCTTTCTTGAAGTACAAAGTATATGTATCAATAAAATTCATAAGAATTGTTGTCAATTAAGAATCCTATGTTATCTTGAACATCTTTTGTCTTGTTTTCAAGGAACAATTTACGTAAACACGAAATTAATTTTCAACGTTTTTCAAAGCAGAAAGAATTAATCAGATGTGATAACAGTCATTAAAAGCTTATGCTATTGCTTATCTAACTTAATAAGAGACATGTGGAACATAAGCCCTTCTAAAAAACGAAAATAAACAGACAAAAACAGCAGCAAAAAAAAATGCCTCTTCCCCAATTTAAATTTTTTAAATAAATAAACGTATATGTTTTCCCTTTTTTTCTTTAAACAAGTATTTATTACCTTGTCCATCAGGCAGGTCAAAGTTACAGATATAAAGCAATTTAAGTTAAATAAGAACGTCAAGAAACCCTCCTTATACGTTCAAACGTAAATTTGTTGATTGATTATAACTTTTGTAAGTTTATGAAACTCATGACAGGGCAACATCAATTATTTATTCAGTAACTCCAGTTAGGTTTGATAATTCATAAATCTAGTCCTTTATGATTATACTGACATCTTAAGAAACATAATATGTCTATACAACTGTAAGCAAGCAGACTGTTTCATATGATATAAACTATAACAAAAGGTTTAGGAAATCAATATAAATAAGAAGATTTGGTATGAGTGCCAATGAGACAACTCTCCATCCAAGTCACAATGTATAAAAAGTTAACAGCTATAAGTCAAAGTACGGTCTTCAACACGGAGCCTTGTCACACACCGAACAGCAAGCTATAAAGGGCCCCAAAATGACTAGTGTAAAACAATTAAAACAGGAAAACCAACGGTCTAATCTATATAAAAAACCAGGAACGAGAAACACCTATGAACCACACCAACAGACGACAACCACTAAACAACAGGCTCCTGACTTAGAACAGGTGCATAAAAATGCAGCTGGTTTAAACGTTTTAACAGACGCCAACCTTCACCCTAACCTGAGACAGTAGTGTAACATTACAACATAAAAAGACACACTATAAAATATCAATTTAAATGATTTAACTCGATCAAAACGACATTTAAATAAAACAAGTAAACATACACTGAACGAATCAATTTGATCTATGACACAATATAAATACAATATTAAAACGTAGGTGCCTATATAACATAGACGTTACAGGTAGTAATGAAAAAAAATGTAGGAAGAGTGTAAATAAGACAACTCTTACCTGGGACAAAATTGCGTTAAATAAAACAACCAAAAACAAGCCTGGTTAAATAGAAATACTATTAATATAATTATTTAACATACGTCTGCCTGGAATATGTAGAGTATTGTACTATTAATAAAGTTTCTGAACTTATGATTAATTACAGTCCTTGTACAGCTACATGTACAAGGAACAACAGCTTTTGACTTGAAATACAGTGAAGTGTAGAACTTTCACTTCATTCAGTGCTTCGTCATTTTTTTTTTTGAGGGGGGGGGGGGGGTTGGCTGCTTTGGATAAGATATGCACATAGTAATAACCAAAACTAACGATAAGGCTGATATGTTTCACCTGTTTTACTTATCATTGAATTAATGTTGAAAGTCCGTAATATGAAGGTTTTACTACAAGTATCACATTAACTTATAATTATTGATATTCTATGAGGTCAATGTCAGATAAACCATACCAGACAGACATGTACACCTTACAATCATTCCATAGATCAAATATAGTGGTCATTGCTAATAGAACCTAAGAAATAGACGAAACCACAAACTACACATTGTCCAATGAACCATGAAATTGAAGTTAAGGTCAGATAAAACCTGTCAGTCTGACATGTACACCTTACAATCATTCCATACACCAAATATAGTGGCCCTATTGCTTATAATATCTGAAAAACGGACTTGACCACGTAAATTTAATCTTGATTACTGATCCATGGAATGAAGTCGAGGTCAGATGAACTCTACCTGACGGACATGAAGATGTTGCAAAAAGTAAAATGACAAAAAAAACGAAATCTAAGGAAAATCCAAAACGGAACGTCCTTTATCAAATGACAAAATCAAAAGCTCAAACACATCAAACGAATGGAAAGTAACTGTCGTATTCCTGACTTGGTACAGGTTTTCCCTTATGTAGAAAATGGTGGATTAAACCTTGTTTTATAGCTAGCTTCACCTCTCACTTGTATGACAGTCACATAGAATTCTATTATATTGACAACAATGTGTGAGCAAAACAATCAGACATAATAGGTAAAAATATCAAAAATTTGGGTACAGACTCAACATTGTGTTATAATCTTAATCACTAAAAAAACATGTAACTATTTCGGCAAAGAAAAACAAATGGAATATAGACACTCTATAGACAACGTACATCAGCCAAAATATAAAGAGAAGAATACAAAAATGACAAAAGCACAATAACACAATGGCGGGATGCATAAATACCGAGCCACGTCAAAAATATATTACCAAAAATGAAATAAATAGTTAAGGTAATAAATATACAAAGACAAATAAAAAGAACACGTTATTTAGATGATGAATGTTAGTACCTAGAATCTATACTTCAAGACCACCAAGTATTATCAATGAAGTATAAATGGAATATGCATCAACAAGGTTTTGGTATCTTTCGATGAACTTTTTTAGAAAAAGGACGAGACATTTTTTAACGTACCCTGCTTCATCAACGTTTTGCTCAGACACTGGTGACGTTTTATAAAGTCTGAGTAGCAGCTGCAAGATCTTGAATACCGAATGAGTTGGGAAATTTTTATCTCATATGCAAGTGAAGTTGGTACATTGCTGCTAAGGTGGGGGAAAATTCATAATTTCAAAATTAGAATCGTCTCGTTTGTCATAGATTCTGGTTCTGAGATGACCACAAGGAACTCACATACCAAATAAAGTTATCCTATTACTCATAATAAGTGCGTATTTCACTTAACAAAAAAAATGCAATTTTTTTCAAGCAGTCACCGAACTATGAAAATCAGGTCAAGGACAATGGACATATGACAGACGGAATCTTCATGACAAAAGGCATCTGCACACAAGGCATGAAGAATCAAGGTCTTCTACCTTCTGAAATATATGCTTTAAACAAATAGTTAACGCCGTCGTCGCCGGATTGCATTACCTATGTCTCGCATACTGAGACTTTCGTCGCAGGCGAGACAAAAACAGAACGACTGGAAATCTAAGGTTGTATTCTTGACTTGATAGTTATAATAGAAGATGTGGTATGAGTTCCAAATGAGACAACTCTCCATCCAAGTCAAAATTTATAAAAGTAAACCATTACAGGTCAAAGTGATACATGTTTTATTCAGAAAATGGGCTTGAGGCTGATTTTAAAACTAGCTTATTATCCGTTAAATTACAAGGTATATGTTCTTTGGGCTTAGTGTCCCAACGCGTGTATATGAAATGAACTTTTGCAGTTGACAGAACAATTAATTTCATGATGAATTTATCATTGAAGATGTGTTCCTCTACTGTCTTTTTGGCATTGTATCAATAGTGCATATTTTAATGTATTGTTCTAATATATTTAATGCCTTTGGATTTTTAGTTTTTTGCTTTTATGCTTATCCAGATTATGGGAAAAACAATTTCCAAATGTGCAAATGCTATTATATAAAATGAATGCATGTTGGTTGGTTTTTTTTGTACTGTTTTTACAAAGAAAACAAAAGTAACAGTTAAAGCTAAAATACATTAAATATTCAAAAAATAAACATTTTTTTTTCAATCAAGTTTCAATTGCAGACAACCCGATTCCCTTTATCTACCAATTGGAGAGAATACCGATGTTCAACCTATAATATACTTTTGAAATATACAAATCAAGGTAAAACAAAACATGAAAGAATCGCAAGAACTCCAAACGGAGCGAAATCTGTATCATTTAAAGTAGATTGAAGCTTACCATACTTCTCATACTATGCAGGCACCAAAATCTCATTAAGTTAATTAGTTCACTAGTTTCATTGAAGCCTTGAAAAAAATGTGAACAACGGAGGATCATTCACTTGACGCCAAGTTATATGAAAAGTTTATATTTTCTTTGGTCAAATTAGCTTGATTATTATTTGAATAACTGCGTCTCAAAATTATACACTCTGAATAGGCATTTCATCCGTATAGGTTTAAAACTGAGCAACAGAATGTGGTAAATGTACAGTAAAGTTATACATTTCACTAAGTCAGTTAAGTAATGGAATAACAAAGGTGTACCCCTAAATTTGAACATTGTAAATGCAATGCAGACAAATAGTTAAACTCATTTGGCAAAGCTGAATTCAACTGACCTTTCAATAATCAAGAAAAGATAGTTAATTTACATATATGAATGTCTAACTGTTAGTTTATGAAATCAACGTTATACAACTTTCCATAAATAACAAAGTTTCTCTTTTACTTTATAAAACAACAGTATACGTACAACGAGAAATAATGGTGAAATCAACTGTTAATATCATAGAAAAATTGTATTTTGTGTTCTCTATCAGTTACAAGTGAAAGTAGATAGTAAGCTATCACAATGTGACACTCGTTTACGTGATCAAAGCTTCTAGATTTATTTACAGCTACATTTTACTTCTAAGGAGATAAGTCAAAACATGTATGGTCCTGCTAGTGGAAACTTAGTATTCAGTGCAAGCACCAGATCAATCATGACTTGATGGCTTGCTTGTTTAGTCTTTAAACAAAAACGAATAAATAAATACAAATATAAAATGGGAGATAGTGACAGGGTTCACCATACTCAAGGTCGTGGTCATATCAAACCATTATATTGATAAGCTAGAAAATTTGACAATCTGCTGTACGGTTGATAAACTGAATATTGTTCTTTTAAACAGCACAATTTTCACACATTGGTTTAGTAATGAATATTTAGTACTTATACAAATATTTTGACATTATTTATAGACAATAATTCAATATATTTCAGAAGATTTTGATAAGATAAAGAATGTTCTTTGAAAAGAAAGTCCATGTACTCGTGCTTTATAGTAAAACTTAGCCTTTTACTTCAAAAACTCCACACTTGACACAATTCATATAAATGGGGCCGCGAGTGTCTAAGGTAGTTCATCTAAAGTGATCATTTACTTGTCAACCTGAGTTGTTGAGTTCTAAGCCCGTTCGTGTCGAGGAATGCCAGTTTCCTGCCAAGGTTGATCGTTTCCTTCGGGTACCACCGCTTCCTCAATCAAAGCAAACTGGAAGCCACGATCTCAGAAAATGGCGTTAAGCACAAACAAACAACACGTTCGACTATAAATTCGAAAGGCAGAAATCAGGTTTGTAATCCGTAGTTTCAAGGATAGTTGGGATGCACAGCATTAAAAGCATAACACGCCCTTATTGTAAATATTGAAATGGTTGCAGGAATAAATGGGATATTTAGAATGCATTTAATCAGATGCAATTCCATGGCTCCATAGAAAGATATGTATGAGTATGAATATTGCGTCAAATACGACTGTTCAAAGTACCAAAACTCTGAAATGATAAACCTGATTAATTTTCAAAATCAAAAGGGATTCTACATTCCACAATTCCAACAACAGTGTGAAAGCATACTAAAGCTGGTACACAAATGACTATTATTTTTCTGAGAGTCGAATTCCCCATACTTTGGAATGACACATGAATCATTTTTTTCTAAACTTTTGACTACCAACAGAGGGTTGTTCGGACCTTTTGAATGGTAATTTTTAAATTACATAGACACGGCTTCTCCAGATGTTTTTTTTTTATATGAAATATATTATGAGGAATAAATTGCACATACCATTAGGGATTCGTTTTACGTGGTCTGTACACACCTTATTACGGATATATAGTCTATAATAAACTAAAGAATATTACTCTATATTCAGCCATACTTTCGGATTTGTGATGATATTTAATTTATATTTGTAATGAATCTTTTTATAATCTTATGTGGATTTTTTTTATCTGACCTTCTTTTGAATAAATAACTATCCCTGAACATTATTGAGAGTTCATTATATAGGACATTACCAATTGTTGCAAGTTTTTGGACTGATTACTTATATGTTAATCATGAATCATGTAAAGATACTATATAATTTCAAGTTTATCTGGATAATTTCTTGTTCGTAGTTAATTGCCTTTTGTTTGTATGTCTGGTTTTATTTTTGGGGGAACCGGGTGTTTGTGGTTGATGTGGTCTGTTATATTGTGTGGCATATTTAGCGATTCCTTCTGTCGCTTTTTTATATATTATTGAAACAATTGTAAAAATAAAGCTCAAGATAGCGGGGGTACGGGCAACGGTTAATTTCATTTAGATGCAATTCTAAAAGTTATGATTCATTTGCAATGATATGATTGCAATTGAGATATATCTGCATAGCCTCATGCAGACCCACTATAATAAAAATATAGTTCAAATGAATTTCTTGTAAAACTATAATTTTTACAACACTATAGGGTGAATACTCCTAGACAAGCTTGGTTGTATTTAGTATATAGAATATTTGCATACATTCTTTCTTCGTGAGGTGACATTAGTTGTATTTTAATGGTGAGACATTGTACGTAAAGATAGGCGAAAGATACCAGATGGACATTCAAACTCATGAGTCGAAAATAAACTGACAATGCCATGGCTAAAAAAGAAAAAGACCAACAGACACAAAACATAACATAAAAACTAAAGACTGAGCAACACGAACCCCACTTAAAACTGGGGGTGATATCGGGTGCTCCGGAAGGGTAAGCAGATCCTGTTTCACAAATGGCACCCGTCGTGTTGCTCCTGTTAGTACATTAGTACAAAATCGGTAGGTCAAATTCGGGAAAAGGGGACGGGATTGTATTTACGACATTAGCAACATATCCGCTATCATCTGTGAAAGATAGGTACTTAACCGGTGTTCTTTTCCTTAGTTAGTTAGTTAACAAAAGAGAAGTCTTTATATAAGCAGACCTTTGCCCGTACCCCCTTTACGCTGCCCGTACCCCCTTTATCTTGACCTATAGTTGTTAATTTCTGTGTCATTTGGTCTCTTCTGGAGAGTTGTCTCATTGGCAATCATACCACATCTTCTTTTTTATACTGAGTTATTCCTTGTGGTGAATACTGCACAAGTGTTGCCAGATGAACGAATATGAAGTCATAGGTAATTCCTCCTGAAGTCGTAAGTAAAAGGAATCGTTTTGCTTGCAATAGTAAACAAAGCCATTAAATCAAGTAAAGCAGCACATAAGATGTAAATAAAATAGTGCAAACAGGCTTAGTTCAAACTTGTATTTCCTCACCCTTTATCCCAACTAAAATCAGTAAGTATAAATATAAAGTTTATATAGTCATAATAAAAACACATTCGATAAATTATACGGTAAAATACAGAAATTGTCCTTATAAAGGAAAGTTCTCTAACACTACATCTTGATAATATACTAACATGCACATTTTAGGCATTCATAAAACGTTCATTTAATAAATGATGAATAAAATCATATTAAGTATTCCATACAAAAGAGAAGCAATTAAAAAAGATGACTAGAAGTTTATGCATAATGATGAGATTATGCAAGTTTTCTTTCAAAACTCAAATGATATTCAAAAGTATATGCTGAGATCAATTTAAATATGCATCCATAACCATAAATGACACCTAGGTCTTATGTATGTATGTTATAATTGTGATGTTCGGATGAAAATTACTTCGTAATCACTTTGTAGTAGTTCTAGTTGGAATATGATAAATGTTGAAATTCTTCCTCGGCTACAGTCAACACATGGCACACATCTTTCCCATGCAAACTTTCGGTGAACGAGCTTCTGATTTTCCTCGCATTAGTTCTGCAAAAGAATAGAACTAGAAATAGTCAATTCATATTCGTGTTTAAAGGATGTATGAGAGTATAAACAAATAGTGAAAATGCATTTTCAAAATATCTTTAAGGATGTATGAGAGTATAAACAAATAGTGAAAATGCACTTTCAAAATATCTTTAAGGACGTAGGAGAGTATAAACAAATAGTGAAAATGCATTTACCAAATATCGCAAACCTAATAGTTGTATCTAATTCTATTTCCAACATTATATTAAAAAGTCTGTCACAGAGTTCGTCATCAAGCTACATCATGTGGATTTTTTTATATCTTTATATGTAGACACTAATGTACTTAAACCAAACAGATGAATATCTACAGAAATTAATGAAAAACGTAAATCTAGATAACACAGTAGGACTGAATTTGGTAGCATTGTCAGACTCAAACAACTCAGTATATAAAATAAAATAAAATTTGCCCAATTTTGTCAGTATAGCGGAACTATACACAACTATCATACACGTGGGAGGTTTGGCTAGCTATAAAATCAGGTTTAAACCATCATCCTTCGGAAAATGCCAGTATCAGGTAAGGAATGTGTCAGTTGTTTTCACTTGTTCCGTTGATTGATAGCGTTTGATTTTGTCAGTTTGTATAGATTTCCCCTTTTTGAATTTGCATTGGAGTTCAGTATTTTTGTTATTCTTTTTTTACAACAGTAAGAATTTATGTAAGTCAGTTGCGATCCAAAAGTTTCTCCCTAACTGCCTTTAGAATCAAAAGTAAGTTTAGTAATAAAGGATATCTATATCCATTCTATAAAGTAAAGTATTATTATTCCAATTACTCGCTTATATCTTGATTTTAGTGAAGATGATAATTAGATTACTATTTTCCCGACTCACCTGCTAAACCTCGGCGGTCTATGGCAACTAATGCTTCAAATAAAAGTTTGATTACGTTTTCATCTTTCCGCACTCCATGAAGCCAAATCATTAAAAGTCGAAACCCGTGCTCCCTGTGACTAGTTGTACCTATTAATAATATATTAAAATCATAAAAGGTTTTTAAAACAATTTGTACGACAAAAAATAGCCTTTACTTTTATACCTTTACTGAATAAATGGACAAATCTGACATAGGAAAATGTCAGGTCTGGATTAAATTGAAATTTGTGAATAATAACACATTGTGCTTGAAGATACTTGATTGTGATAATTTAATAGAGACCAAAAATATAAAATGTATCAGTACCAATGCAAAGTATTTATTTTCCTTCTAGATATTTACAAGGCCGAAAAAACGGCAATTACAATTAACGTACTACAACTAATGTTTAAGAACAATATATAGCAAACAAATTATCATATCAAGCAGCATATTCTTAATTCTGAATATTTTTATATTTTTTATATATGCAAAGTCGTCATTTTAGGTCGAGCATGACGTGTTGACCCGGCAATTTAAAGTCATACCAGTGTATTGGTGTTCTATACATCTTATATGATCTGAAGTAAACTTCCAGTGAATGGCCAATTTTTTCCAGTCTCCTGGTTTTAATTGTTTGGTAGCAAGTTTCCATAAAATGTCTTTCATTTGCGTTGATGATGGATGTTTTGGAGTCCGAAGGTACTGATGTGGGTCAACATAATCCAATTCCTGTTCCATGTATTCCTGTAAATATTAGATGCTAATGTACTATGGCTGTTATTTACTTTTTACAACTCTTCATATGGTAGTGACTTACGTTAACGGACTACAAAAGAATTTTCTACACGTATGAACGTCAGCTGATACCTGACTATCAGCTATATAAGCAATCTATTCATGGGTAAGTTGTTGCGTTTTGTTTGCGCCTTCAAATATGATTTAAAACAATTTTGTGTTACTACGACGACCATTTCACCATTAAACTGGGGAACATTTTTTAATCAGTGAAAAGTCTTAGTTTTTTTTTTCATACAAATCCATTTGCTCACACCATATCATTTTTTGATTCTTTTGAAGTCTATACGTATATTTTTGTAGTATTTCTTTTTAAGTAAGAAATTTAAAAAGTGAAAGGAACATTTTGTTTATGATATTGGATGGCATCTCTACGAAAACATATGTTTTTGAGTATAACCTGATGGTGTTAGGTAAGGGACTTAGTAATATCTTCGTATTTTTAATTATGTCTTTTATGTATTTCATAAAGATATATTTAATAGGATCTCGCATATTAAGCAGTCGAATACATATTGTATGGTATGGTATTAGTATGACTACATGGTAATGGTAAGGACATCATTGAAGGCCGATACCTACCTAAGTTGGGAAACATAATAGACCTAAATAGATAATATCAATAGCCCTAACTAACTATGGACTTTGTTTGTTGTCTTTAAGTTGTAATTTATACATTTATTATCTACTTGAATTGAAAGTCACAAAAAAAACAAAAGACACATTAAATGAAAACTATCAAAATCAAACTCACAATCATTTATTTGGTCAATTATTGTCTAAAGTCAAGCGTATATAATAATTGAGCTTTGCACATCAAATTCAATTTTGGTGTGTTTTAATGAAATAATCTGTTTCCTGACAGTTTGTGACGTTTATATTTTCATTTTTCGTTTCATGTGAAGAACAAAAGCTACAATACACTTTCAGATTTATTCATTGCCGACAATCTTGTTTTTCCAATGCAGAGATGTGGACTGAAAAATTGCAAAGTTCAACGACTTTGCAAGATCTACAAAATCACTCTATTGGTAATTGATATAAGACTTTTACAATTTCTGGAAATTGAGATGAATAACATTGCTAAATGTATAGGTCATATGCAAACCCCAAAAGAGCTTTTGCGACTTTTATGTATTACTAAATGTTGTCTCGAGTATTTTAGAAAACAGTGATTTTGTTTGAATTTAAGAATATTTAAAAAAGAATATGAGCAATTAGTTATAAGCAGCTCCTTAGTTTATATAAGGGTTTGAGGAAATCGATGGTGCATTTTTGTTATTACGATAATATTCTTGCTTTCCTCAAATTGACATAGCGAAAACTTGAAATAAAGTTACTGTCCAACGTGATTCTGTGTTGAAACATATTCTTCTTTATCATATCTTATTCTTTAAATATTATCATTTAGACTAATAGCATGAATTGTAATATATTAGTTGCCACTTAACAGCAAAACAAGTAACTTTTTTAGATTTATTTAAATGACGAAAGTTGAATTGACAACTGCATTTACTATCAAAAAGATACAGAATATGAAGTATATAACATAATATAGGAAATATGAACTACTTTTTCAACTGATTGTTATAGTTTGTTCTCATGTTGTGCTGTAACATTTCTATCCCAGGTTTGGGGGAGGGTTGAGCGCTCACAAACATGTTTAACCCCGCAACATTCTTTATTTACCTGTCCAAAGTCAGGAGCCTGTAGTTCAGTTGTTGTCGTTAGTTCATGTCTGTCATTTTTGTTTTTCGTAAACTGTTTTGTTATTAATTAGGCCGTTATTTTTCTCAATTGAATTCTTTCATATTTTTAAAGTTGGGGCCTTTTATAACCGACTATACGGTATGGATTTTTCTCATTGTTGAAGGCCGTTAGGTTGTCTATTTTGGCTTACATTGACTTTATTTGAACTTTGGTGGATAGATGTCTCATTGGCAACCTTGTCTCATCTCCGTATTTTTATACAGTAATTTTTCTGGTATATTTAGGTCGGTCATAAACAAATTAGGCATGGACAGTAAGTTAAACAGTATTAGCATTCTAGTGTATCAAACATTGTTATAGCATGCCATATACATAATCCAGCAGATAACATCTCAAAAATATTCAGATCGATCATACATAGTAAATCCCAGTGTGTATAATGCTTTATTGGTCTATTATTAGTTTCTTTTCTTGTTGCTATGAATGTATAGAATGTTTGGTCACCCGTATTATCTTTTGCATGACTATTTGTTTCATAATATTATATTGTTATAACTATGCTCATATCCTATCACCATGTATACGTGTTGTGTCAGATCTAGTTATTGTTCCGCAGAAAGTATTTAGCTTCATCTTTTGTAAACAGCTTTCTACAAGGACTTATTCTTTGCTACATACAACCAATACATCGCCAAATAGAAATTTTGTTATATCAATACAAAGAGCAATGTTTAAACACATTTCTTTGCTAAATGAAACAACATAAAAGAATAGTGAAAGGATAAGTAGTTGTTCCCCTTATGGTGCTCTTAGCAAGTAAAATTAAAATAGAAAAAAACTTTTATCATAAGGATGAATAAAGGCGACATTAGTCTACCTATGTTCAAATCTCGCAAATCGATTTAGAAGAGACAAATCAAGGCAACAAAATAATTGTGGGTTCCGAATTAACTCCAAAAGCAGCGAGATCATGCGCGTCGACCGTTCTGTTATAAATGCATCACCCGCCATGCGAATCAACACTCAAAATGTCTTGATAGAAAACAAACCGTAAAATAACAGAGCAGACGACTATACTTATATCTAAACCAAAAACGTGTAGCTAATGAGCTGAGACACAAACACATCGTATCGGTCAACCTATTTGTGATGGTGACCTCAAAACTAATGCATAAGTCCTTTGATTGATTGATTGATTGATTGATTAGTGTTTTGCCACTTTCAGCACTATTAGCTATGTCGTGCAGTTTGTTTTCAGGAAGCCGGATAGAACCACCGACCTTCGGAGGGAAAACTGACAATCCTAGTCAATCAAGATTGGAGTCAAGCACGTGCAGGGTTTGATCTCGTAACCTCATTGTTGACGGACTAGTGATACAGTAGTTGGACTAGTACGACCACTCGGCCATCAAGGCCTCTCCCCATAGTCCTTTGAAGTCAAACGATACAACTAAAGCTTCTAGACGCTACTATGTTGGAGAACTAGTGACACTTCATAATTACCTTTGTACATTCTATGTAATAAATCATTAAGGCAGTTTGACCGTCACAGATTAAATATTTTTCTGTAACTGCCCATGTTCTCCACAAAACAAAAGTCATCTTTTAACTAACTAACTTGTGTCTTCTAAAAAAATTTATTACTTTATTAGTTGGAAACTGAAGTCTAAATCATGACCAAAAGATATGTTCTAACTGACAGAAATGTTTTATTTTATTAGAAAAGGTGAATGTTTTGATCCTTAGATGACTTTAATGCTTCCCCCCCAATTACTTTTTCTAAGTTAACTTATGTATATTTGAAAACATAGAACAGAGATTATGTAAATTATTTTGTTTTTCACTATTGAACAAATCTTTAATTTTATCAAGTTGTAGTGGGTTCATATTTATACATTAAAACAAATGTATGTTCAGAAAACGACTTACCAAATTATGATTACTCGTGTTTGGTACTATTTGTTATATTGTTTACAAAGGACATCCTGTTTATGACGGATCAGAACATCTAGTTTCATTCGATGGTAATAAAAGAATAGATGATGTAGCATTGACCTTTAGCATCCGTCTTTTATTTTCCTCGTGTGAGACAAAATTAGTTTTCGTATAGCAATATTAATGATTACATGTAAAATGAGTGTCTCTAAATAGGCTGAAATTTTCGGACGAAATAAAGGAAATACTATAAACAAAACTCAGTAAAGATACCAGGCTGGTATACATTTAAGGTATTATTGAAGTGTTCTTACCACAATATCAATTTTAGAACAAGAGTTACCTGTCGTGTTACATGTTCTACAAAAATAAATATTTTCCTGTAACACAGCTTTCATGTATTTTGAAATTAGGAGAACATAATTTATCTAATATCTAATATTTAAAAAGTTTAACAACGATTAATTAAATTTCAGTTTTATTTTTAGAGTTTTTACTTTGTCGTTACATTTCTGATCACCATTTGTTTTTCTTTATCACAATTCAGAAAAGATCATGTAGGGAGTGCTAGAAAGTTACATGTTAATAAATTTTCCATTATAACACAACACTAATATATCTCTTTATTTTCAACATTTTGTTTTCTTACCCTGGTCACTGCATAGTATCTTTCAGCTTTGATTATCATATCAACAATTGCAACAAAACTTCCTCTAGATGCCAGTTGTAGCGGTGTTTTTCCTAGCTATAAAAAGATATTATAAGCTAAATTTGCTACATTTTAATGTCTAGTTCTTGTTTATGCTCATATGGGGGTATAGGCGATTGCCATATAGGTTCTTGATAACATTAGTCGTATTTGGAAAAACTTTTCGGAATTTTGGGTCCTCAATGCTCTGCAACTTCGAACTTTGTTTGGCTTTTTAATTTTTGATTCGAGCGTCACTGATTAGTCTTTTGTAGACGAAACGTGAATCTGGCTTACAAAACTATAAGCCTGATATCTTTGATAAGGTTTTTTTCTAATAAAGGTATGTTTTGTACTTACCTTCTATGTTAATGTACTTTAGCTTCTGGTTTTTAATTCATTTTGTTGTTGGTTGAAATTTGATGTCTTTTATTTGACATCAATCTACAAATTCCTTGGCAGTTTTCTAATAATAGTTTTGCCAATCATTTCTAAATTTATTATAAAATGTTTTTATTTAATGTGTTGCCTATGTTTCCAACTGCTTTAACAAACTCATTCTTCAATACATGTTTATTCATCAGCATTATCGAGATAAATGTATAAATGATGTTATAAATTTGAGCTGTTTGATCAATGCCATTTGGTTGATTATTTTCAAACATGTTTATTTAACAACAATAACTAGTAGAAAAGGGACCCTTGGTAACTGAATATTACTTTAAATCATTCTATGTTTAAATACGAATAAAAATACCTTTTCTCGACGGGAAAGATTAGCACCACCAGCCAACAATACTTCAACAGATTCCTGAAAACCGTTTTCTACAGCTACGTGTATAGCAGTTTGCTGTCGCTGTGAAGAAAGAAAAATATAAACTACCTGGTATATTTTGATACATATTGGTAAAGAGAAACGAACATCTAAAACTGTATTATAAATTACCAATTTATTTTAAATTTGCAATTGAAAATACTTCAGCTGGACTTATTTACTCACATTCATTTTTGGTTACATGTAAGAAGATTACAGGAAACATACATATTACTGACCAGAAACGAACTTCTCAAATTGCATCATACATATTATTGACCAGAAACGAACTTCTAAAATTGCATTATCTATTACCAATTTATTTAAAATTTGCAATTAAAGATATCACTGCTTGACATATTTAAAAAAAACATCAATTTATGGCTAAGAAGATTATAGGAGACTACCACCGTTCCCTACTCATTACTTTATTGTACTTTAATGTATCATCATATTAATTCATATAAGTCCAACTTTAGTTATATGCATTCAGTCAGGAAACTCGCCACTGACTGTCTTAGTATCTGTTTCCATTTTATTTAATCGAATTCTATTTTAGGGTTTACCCTTTACGACTTTGCTATTATATGCAAATGTGTTAGTAGTCTATTTTACGATTACTCAGAACCTGTCTTTGTTATAAATGCATCTTAAGCGGCAAATATCAACTGTCAAATTTTTGGTTTGACCCGGCCAGAGACAGTAGCCATGACATCCCGCAACTTGGGCGATCACAGTACCAGGAGACCATTGAGGTGTTGCCACATTTTTATTGTTGAACACATCTTCATGTTTTGTTTTATCCATTGCTATCCATTTCACGTATACATCAATTTGATCAAGTTATGTGTTATTTTTTTGTAACAAATTTTTGGACAAAAAAATGAATCTTTTCCCGGTATATTACAGTTTGACGTCGTGAAAAATATCATTTTACGATCAACGGCATTACCTTCTCTGTAACTGTATCGTAAGCCCTTAAGTTAAACTGATAAATAAATTGCATAAAACTTAATAAAATGCTACTTGTAACGATTACCAATTTTTATTAATTTTTAATTTTTTTTTTTTTATTTTTGTGCAGGGGCCATTTAGCATGCATACTTTTTGCGGTAAATATTCATTAATATCATATCGAGAACATGACTGTGTCAATGTGTTAATGTTGGTAAGTCATTTGCATTAAAAGGGATTTAAGGAAAACGTAAACTGAGAAAGCATCAAATTATACTTTTTATAAGCGGTCATTACACAGACATTAAATAATATCATTTCTCTCGGAAAATATAATGTAGCTCCTTGAATATGTATTACAGCCATTTAGTAGAAATAAATGATTTTTTTTATTAACTATAAAATAAAATTGAGAATGGAAATGGAGCTGTATCGTTCATACAAAATGATTAATAAAATGATTTGCTGATTAAATATTAATATTGTTGTGACTATCAAAATGTATTGCTTTTATTAATTACAAACTTTTGTCTCGTAATACGCAACGCATGTCGTTCAATGTTTACTCTATATGTTTAATGAATCTTCCTATCTAAGTTCCATTTGAGAGCTTCTGTATATATCTAATTATGTAACTTTACGACGATCACCTTAGTGACGTTGATTCAATGTTCGTCATAATTTTTACTCACGTTCTCTATAATGTACACTGTAATTAAATGATGTGTGAAAATTCTTTGGTGAGGGTTCTCGTTTTAGATGCGACGTTTTCTCCTTGACATACTTACATTGTTAGCTATGTTAATGTCACAGTTAGCTTGGATCAATATTTCTATAATGTGGCGGGAGTTTCCTAAAGTTGCCAAATGTAATGCAGTGTTTCCTTGCTGAAGAAATAAATTAAATATAAGTTTAACCAACAACTTTGAAGAACACTCTAAAAGTACAAAGTAACTTATTTACACAGTAATTTATTTTCTTTAATATATTTAAAAAAAAAACATAATTCCCAACACGGGTACCATCTTATGCGATTTTTGGAAAATCATTTCGATAAATACAAAAACTGAACCAATTAAGGAAATGTATTGTATGCTAGAATGAAAAAACAAGATCTATCATAAATGACAAGGTAATTGGTCTTGATACAAAACTTTACCACAGAGAACAATTATCATTGATATAGATCCATCAATATGTTTGCTAGAAATTATGAAGATAGACAATGAAAAACGACGGGAACAATGAGAATGAGTTGCTATACTTATGTTTATTTTACGGAATAGTTTCATTTCACACATCACGTACACTTAAATATAAAAGTAAGAAGATTTTTTTTTTTTTTATTAAAATTGAATTTGAAATTTCATTCATTTAAACGAAACTCTGTTCTATTTATATGATTAACATCAAACTAAAACATATGAAAATATAGAAAAATGACGATTTTGTTTGAGTATGTGTCAATTTATACTTACAAAGTTCTGAGCGTCAATATTAGCACCATTTTTAATTATGGTCATAACTACTTCGTCATGTCCATTTGTTGCTGCAAAATGTAATGGGGTCATTCCTTTCTGCAATATCATAAATTTTATTGTTTAAATATCTGCAGTTAGGTTTTCGTATGTAAAGGACTGAAATATCATTATAATGTTTGTAAAATACGAAAACTTTTTTTTTATTTTTCTGTAACAACAATTACGCATCATTCGTTAATTAACCGTTATTGAATATCTGTTTCACAGATGACGACGGATATGTTCCAATCGTCGTAACCGCAATCCCATCCTCCTTTCCCCGAATGTGACCTACCGAATAAGACTCATCACCAGGTTTGTCCTTACATGAACAACACGACCGGTGCCACATGTGGATCTGCTTACCCTTCCAGAGCACCTGAGATCAACCCCAGTTCTCGATGGTGTTCGTGTTGCTAAGTCTTTAGTTTTCTAAGTTGTGGTTTGTATACTGTTGTTTGTCTTTTGGTCTTTTTCCTTTTCTTGCCATGTTGTTGTCAGTCTATTTTCAACTTATGAGTTTAAATGTCCCTTTGATATCTTTCGCCTCTCTTTAACATACATGTCTACAAGTACAAAAGAGGTGGACGATACCAAAGGAAGAATTAAAAACTCGTAAGTTGAAAAAAAAAAAACCGAAAAAGTCGTGGCAAAAAATGAACGAGGAAAAGACAAACAACAATATACAAAACATTACATAAAAACTCACGACTGAGCAACACGAACTCCACTTAAAACCGGAAATGTAATTTGAAAGAAACAATATATTTATGTTGATCAATTTTACACGTTGTGTGATTATCAATATAGAGGACGTCTATTAATGCTTACCTTTCGTTGTGACTCTTGCAAAGTAATCTTTTGTAGAGACAAAACAAATTTTGTTCGTGTTTTTGTCGTCTATTTAGAACTATTACATGTAACGGTAACATTTTGAAACGTCATTTTCAATAATCAGAAATATTACAGGGTAAAAAAACATGTACTCTGGATGAGCATACAATTCACATCTACTCAAGAAAGTTCAAAATTCTATACAAGTTATCTTTCATTTCTCATTATTTCGATCTAGTGTTTCGTGTACTGAAAAAATCTAGTGTTATCTTATCGTTATAGATCATTTTTACGTTATATTGAAATTGGTCTATTCTCTGTTTAAAACGTTCTTTCCTAGAAGAATCGAATTATTCACTTATAATACAACTAACATATCCTAAATCATTTCAACTAATCTATACATACTATTGTTTCTGTATCAGCACCAGCATTGAATTCCAATAATACATCAACAACGTCTGCATGACCATTATCTGCTGCTACATGTAAGGCGGTTCTACCATCCTAAAAGCAGACACATGAAGGAAAACAAATCGATGAGAGCTTAAACATATGGTTACAAAGGATCTTACATCTCTGTTAAACATTATTTCATTATTTTGAACCACAGCAACCTTCATAATAAATTTCATCTTGGCCGTGGCTGTTTGGATTACACCAGACTGGACTACTTAAATTTAGTTAAGAATTTGTAACGATGTTATAAATAAATGGAAATATTCATACTCGAAATTAATAAATTACAAGTATAATTATGTAAAATTAAATATTTCAAGGACTTCAACTATTACATATATAAGAAAACAACAGAATCATTTTTCCACAGAAGTAAATACAAAAATTAATCATACTCGATTTACACTCATAAAGTGTTTTATAAAAAGCTTTAAAAACATAAAACCCTTAGAATAGAGTCGAAGTTCATAATTTAAGACGTGACCTCTGCAATTGACCGCATGAGCTTTATCAAGGTAATTTGTCCCCTATGTCATCACAAAAGATCTCATGTCTGTACCATGTACCAATATTGAGAAATCTGTGAAATATTTCAAGGGGTATTAGTTTTTTAAGATAACACATCCTGACACATGTGACAAATATGTGCCTCAATGTGCCCAAAATTTTGCACCAACTCTTTTTATCTCTTCCTTTTACTAGTTTTGAGTTATACTGCTCAAATTCAAAAGTCAAAATCTAGGTCATAACCTTGACATTTGACCTTGAGCTCAATTCAAGATCATGGATCAAAAGGTCAAAGTTCTAAGCGACTTACGGCTTATGAGATTTAGAGACATACCCCTTATATCAAATATTTAAGGAGAGATAATTTGTATGAAACGTCCATCTATAAGTTCGATCTAAACGTAACAAAGTTGGGATATGTCGCAAGAAACGAAAAAAATGTTTGGTGATATCTCTATCGGTTTATGAGATAAGCTGCAAACAAAATTTTCCGTGTCAGCGAAGATAACTTCTATATTAGAAAAGATACACATAAGCAGGGTGACTAGAAGATTGCATACGGTCAACAAATACTTGATACCTAATATCATTTCAAAACAATGCGTCATGTTGGAAAATTTAAAAAAAAGTAAAACGTGTGGGAGTTTGTAAGTAAATTAATGGGTTTTGAGGTTTTATAATATCATCGTTTTTCTCGCATAACCTCTCATTGAATAAATAGTGAAAACGGTTCAATTCATCAAGTCATGTGGTATAAAAAATGCATATTTTTTTAAGAAAACAGAAACAGAAATATATATGGAACAACAAAAGTTAAACTCTCTAAAATATTCGTTTTCGAATTCAAAAATATGAAAACGCAACAACTATAACTTGTTTAACAGCCAATGAACCAATCAGCCAATATGAATATTTTTCCAAAACAAAGCAAACGTTATTCTGATAAGAGTGGTGACTAGGGGGCATTGATAGGGCACAGCACAGAGCGCTCCGCCACATATAAGAAAGTAGATTGTGATGCAATCCTAAGAATGGCAGGATAATCTGGTTTAAACATAGCTTATACCAATAGAAGAAAGGCTTTTTATTAATGCACCATCAATATAAGTGAAATTCATCTTTCTTATAAAAATATGTTATAAAGTAAAGTGTTGAATTATCAAGTCTTAAAAATGATTTGTGTTTTCTGCCTCAGGGATACGATGTGTTTAAATAGAATAATACCAGATAATGAATGTAATATTCTCTATTTTAATAGTAATAATGACGTATGCAAAAAATGTGTTTAACTTCTATGTTCATATGCAAATAAAAGGGAATTCATAAATAAAAGAGTAATAATGACGTGATCTGTGTTTTGAAGAAGTTGATGCAGTTTACTTAATATGATTTCTGTATGACATTGGTGCTTGCATTACTGGCGCTCATGTGCGCTCCGGACCTAACGTTTGATATCATAAAAATCACAAAATACAAAACCGCTAGTGACAAGGTTGCATGAATGAGTTACAGAAATTATACAGTTTTATAAACAGACAAAATTAATCTTTTAAAACTTGCATATATATCGAAGCACCGGCTACTGGGTGACCGCCTCCTTAGGGTACTGAAAATCAATCGGCTGTTAAAACGTTTTAACTTCCACGTGTACACCGTGTGTGTTTGGAAAAAGCTTGAGACCAAACCTTCGGAAAGTCAAAAATATAAAAACGATATAGAGCATTAAATTATAAGGACCTTAACAGAACAACCAACACTGCTATATTTAACTATGCCCGAGGAAACGAGAAACACTACAAATTAGTGGCAACAATAGTTTACCGATTTTCAAATCTCATCAATCCATTAAGAAGATACAAATCAAGATAAATTGCAAAAAAAAAGAGGAAAACCTAGAACAACTTATAACTATTTAAATTTAGATTTAGTCAACATTATGAACATCAGCATATCCGATTGAACAAATATCTGTTTACGTTCGACAATTGTCCTCTGAGGGTATTTATTTTTTGTTGGCATTTCTTTATATTTGAGCTTAACACAATTCATGAGAACTACACATGTTACAAAATAATATTACATTACATGATCGGGTCACGTCAACCTTCACTCACATTAAGGATTTATAAAGTTTGGCAAAATTTATTTAAATTTCCTGTGACTATGCACGTTTAAGCAACTGAAAATGGTATTGCGATTCAGTCATCTAGTATGGATGTTTTTATCTTCATCATCGGCTGAGAGTTCTTGCCCAGGAGTTGGTATCTATATATCATTGTTGCTGTGTTTAAATCGTTTACTTTTTGTAGTTTTTTCCTTTCTATGATTGTGTCTATCGAAAATGTAATTATTGCAATATTGGTTTGTATACATGAAAATCTCTTGGTCCTCAATATAAATGTCGTTTGATATTGTTTACAATTGTTCGTTTATCTGTTTATACTTTACTTTCATTATTATTACATCCTTGGCATTATATAGCTTTTACTTTAAGCGTATTCGATGGAGGTAAGTACAGAAAAGCGCTTCGAGTCAAAGCTTCACCGATTTTTTATACAAACCATTTTCAAAAGTCGAGCATTAATACTTTAGCACATAGATTTGTGTGTGAATTTTAATAATTTAATATCATTACAGCGCACCTTCGAAGCAATCATTCTTCATTTGTTGTAGAAACAACAAATTTGTTAACACTGAAATCTTTTGTTGGTTTACAAAAAGTAAGATATCTAATTCTACAAAACAGATCAAATTGTTCTGATCGATGACCGTTTCTATTAGCAGTTATCTTGTATTTTATGGCATAATGGTCAAGTGAGGCAAATACTTTTTCGTTGATAAACAGAAAATAAAGTCCCGTATTTGGTGCTAAATCACTTTAATATAAAATGTTTATTTACAAAAATAGTTTTCTGTTAAGAAATATTAAGAAACAGGGTAGTTTGTACTCGACTAGTACGGCTGTAACATTTACGATGCACATAAATGGTTTATCTACATTTTAGTATTGATTTTTTTAGATAACGAACAAACCTATAAAAACCCAGCATTTTTGCAACATTAAGTGACCATGTCAACACTATAGTTAAGTTTGATGCTATAAAGACAAAAATTCGGGAATGGTTATGACCCAAATACTGGAGTGTTTACTGTTCCATGCACAAGAACATACGAATATGCCATGAATTTTATCACTGGTGAAAAAAACGAGTGGCTAACACTGGACCTGATGAAGAAGAACAAGTTGATTGGAAAGAGTCATGCTGCTTATGATAAACATACATCAGAATCAAGCAATCCTTGAATTGAAGAAAGGCGAACAGATCTACTTCAGTCATCCTAGCAGTTCGGGGACGCTCCATGGTGATTATTATACGATGTTTTCTGGACATTTAATTTAAATAAAATATGTCAAATGAAAATATATAATGCATTAGAATTTCATAATTTTATTCCATACAAGTAAACTTTATGTAATACTTTATTGATAAAAAAATTAAAACAACACATAATCAAATTAACTCTTTATTTGACTCTCCACTGATTGTGATTAAAAATTTAAATACTAAATCCAAATATTTATATGATTATCGAAAATCAAAGAACTGATCAAGTCAATGGTTGTTCCTGTATGGTTTGGTAACCTTATCCAAACAAATATCATACATATCATAAAAGTCATACAATGCCAGCTGGAAAGTTATTCCAATTATAATAAGGATTCGTCCTCTCTATATTCTAGCAAATAAACTTTGGGGTATAAAACTATATGGTATGTCTGTCTTTCCCTCTCGCATTTCACTTCTGGCTAGTTAAGGTTCGGGTAGACCATGAGTATTATCAAGACTTACCTAACACAGAGTATCATAATCTTTGACTACGATCGTGCCTCAAGATAAAAGCAATATCTAAGAAATGTATTGGCATACTATACGACTCATTTCTTAAAACTGACTGGACATAGATGCGTTTTATTATTGTACCATATGACTCCTGATTTGTCATGAGCATGACACACGTTCAATGCCTTGAAAAGGTCACGTTTGATACAATTGTATAATTATATATGCTTTAGTGTTTTTTGACGAATTTAAGTTTTAAAAATGGGTTGTTTCTTTTCTAGGTGTAACTTTGTTTATATACTTTGATACTATACGACGGTTATTTTCTACAATATTACTCAACTAACCGTCCGTTCTAAATTTTGTTTAAAAGGAAATAAATAACAGGTAGCGCAATGAAAGAGTTAACATTGACAGTCATTGATAACTTGCACTATTGACATTTTTATTCAAAATAATTTAGATATGAAAAGACTTCAACTTGGCTATTGTTATCATATAATATGCCACCCATAGCATAGGCTGATTGTGAAATGTCAAACGGTAGCTATTCCAATGGTCACTAGGTGGCGCCCTAAAAGAACGAAAAATTTATTGCTTCCGGTATTCTCATTCTCATGCTTTTCACAATCTTGCCGGTATTCCATTTCGAAAGGAGCTTTTTACATCAACCATCAGACCAATATTAATATTTGCTGAATGTAATAATTGTTTAAGGTAAGGCCTAACTGTTTTTGTTCAAATCTTATTAATACACGTGAGTTTTCTACTGGTTTTTGCGTTTGGAAAATAGTCCTGTTAAACGATGAGGTCGGAAAGACGGACACTGCCATTTTTATTGCAAAATGTATTAAACAGCATCAAGCTTGCGGGCTACTTCATACCAAATTATACTTATTAATGTATATTAATTATAATTTATCTAAATGTATGGATATAAATCAGTCGGTCGTCGGCGACTAGGTTTCTACGAAAAATACAGGTTTTAGGCAACTCGAGTTACCCCCCTTATACTATAGACTTTTTTGGATATGATATGATAGTGCAGTGCAGCATTGGTAATTTTTTTTAAAATAGGAACAAAGTTAAACATGTGAAATAAAAGTAGTGTCTATGTTATTTATATGAACCCTATTGTTGAAAAGATGTCTTTTTCAAAATTGTACAATTATACTCATAAGATAAAGTGGTTACATCAGCTTTTTGTCAACAAGTTTTATATAAAAGTGGAGGGTCATTGAATATTTCAACTAAGGCCTGCTTATTATTTATTTCTTAATTAACTGCTTTGTTATTATAATCCCTATATAATCAAATGTTTGTTATTATAATCCCTATGTAATCAATGGGTCATTATAATAATTGGTACACAATGTACATAGCCAAGAGGCAGGATTACTTTGATCAATGTGTTAATGATAAATGGTCTTTATATTTAATAAGGGTATCACAACTTAAGTAATCTTCTATGAGGTCCTCTTAAAAGTTGATTATCTATCTACTGTGCAACCAAATGGTAATAATTATTTTGATAGTGATTGGTGTCTCTTTTTTAAGTAATTTAATGCAACAATGCTCTAATTTGACATTGAATAGCAGCCTACACTTGTTTCTTTGTTGTAGGAGTTACTTGTATTATATAGTGATTAGTTGATATTTTGATACAGAAGACAACCACCTTCTTATTTTGTTTTCAAATTTGGTAAGTAGGCTTATAAAAGTGATATTTATATTTATATTTCAATTACCATAACCTCAAAACCATTAAATTATAAACAAAGTAAAACTCATACAATTATAAGAAGATATGGGATATTAAAGTACATTAAATGAGACAACCAAATAAACAATTTAGGAAGTGGCACAAATACAAATATGCAATGTAAAAACATTAATCTGTCTTAAACTGGTGTTAGGTAGAAACAAATAATCAACAAACAATAAATAATATATAATGACCTCAAAACACAGATAAAATTTACTTTTGGTAGTGTCACTTTTACCAATCTAGAGTTATGCCCCTTTACCAATGAAACAAAATGTGAATTTTTAGTTTCTGTTCCTACATTAGTTTGCCTCAGCCATTATTATGAAACTTATACACAATGTATATTACCACAAAACACATATCAAGTTTAAATTTTGGTGGTGTCACTTTTACCATTCTAGAGTTAAGCCCCATTACAAATCCTAAAATTTCTGAACTTTGTTTCGGTTCTCTAACTAAGGTTTGCCTCAACTACATGTTATGAAACGTACACACAATGCTGATTAGTAAAAAAAAATCAGATCAAGTGCAAATTTAGGTAGCGTCACTTTTACTATTCTTGAGTTATGTCCCTTTATAGCATCATTGGACACATTCTCCATTTATTTGTGTGCAGGTCTGGAAAAAATGCTTGTAGAAGTAAAAGGCATAAGCCAAGGGGAACTAATTCTAACTTTATTAAGAACTATTAATATGACTTATTTTATTTAAAAAGGCATAAAGTAACTATAACTTATTAATGAATTAACAATGGAATGATGATTACATGTAAATTATATATAGTGTTCTTTGATTTTTAGGTATAATTGTTCAGATTTAAATGGTGAACATGTAATTAAAGAGCCAGTCAAGAGGAGTTTAACAGTTTTTTCCTATTGGTATGCAAGTGAATGATAAAATGTTAATAACAAAATATGCTTATTTTCATACAAATAGAAAACTAAATTTCACCAAAATAAATATAACAAAAACAACTCATGTATATGGTCTAGAAATCGTGACCTGGTCACGATACAGAATGCCATGGGGTTAAACCAGTTTGACATAGATATAAGAAGATGTGGTATGAGTGCCAATGAGACAACTCTCCATCCAAGTCACAATTTATAAAAGTAAACCATTGTATGTCAAAGTACAATCTTCAACACAGAGCCTTGGCTCACACCAAACAGCAAGATATAAAGGGCCCCAAAAATGACAAGTGTAAAACCATTCAAACAAAAAAAATCTACGATATAATCTATATAAAAAACATGGCAACATAAAACAGCACCCTTTGCCTATGCAGAACATATATAAAACTAGAACAAGAAAAAACACCAAAAATATTATTTTGAAATCACAAAAAAATTATGACTGCTAAGGTAATCAGAGCTGTTGGTCGGACCAAAGAATCAAAACAATTCAGAAATAATTTGAAAATACTCAATTTTGTACCAAGAGTGCAGATAACTTAAAAATTATTTAAAAAACAGATTTTTCAAATATAAATAAGATGATTATTATATTACTGTCAATTTAACTTTATACCAATATCACGAATTATAATAAATATTGGATTTCTATGATTTTTAGATTTGCTGATAACAGAGGTCTATCGAAGAAAGATTTTGGTGTTTTCTTCATTTTGGTATGCTTTGTGATAGTATTGATAACTGCAAACAATATAACATGCTTTCTAATAAATTTTTCTAATGGCATGTGCACAAACTTCTCTCTCTTTCACCATACACATTCAATGCATGCATGTAAATAAGCAAAATATGTCTTGCTTCACAGTTTATGCACCTCTTGGTCCTTAGTCACCCTCTGCTTTATGCTAGTTGGCTCTGTAACATGTAAGCATGGTGAACGGTTATTACACATGTTCGTGTGGACCATTAATCAGGCAATCCAAGTGTTATGTAACCTGAGGGTTCCAGCTAGAACTGTAACATTATTTATAATAGGTGATCATGAAACAACATTGCTGTATTTATTAACCAATTAAGAAATACAATTTCAACTTGGTAAGGTGGCTGGATTATGATAAAACAATAGGAGTTCCAACTCCTGCAAGATATCAAACAAACAATTATAACAATGATTTAAAAGACAATAAGGTTATAGAAATAATAACACATTACAGAAAATAATGAACAGTCAATGCCAATATTTAAAAGGGGAGATAATAATTTAATATATGGATTACTTCCCTTTGTTAACTGTCTAATGAGCAATATTTTGATTTTTTTTATTAATCAGATTTAAAAAGAAAACATAATCAACAAAGCAATCACATAAAAGACATTTCATCAAAGCTGAGACTTGTCAATTCAATATGCAAAATGTATAAAAATCTTTGATTTTTTACAGATAGAGGGTGTTTAAATTGAGCCAGACAATTACATTTTGAAGCTCTAGTACAGCTATTTGACAGACATGTAAGTCTTAAACCAAATATTTAAAACTTATTATACAACTGCTTGTTTTCGCTTGATTTGCATGTTTTGTTTTTTTTAATTTATTGATTTGAAAGACAATAACTTAAGGTTTGTTGTGAAGGAAGAAAAATATGTCAAATATAGACATAAATAGTTTGTGAAAATATTAGAAATACTGTTTTATTGCACATTACAGAAATGGCAACAGGTGATAACTTGACCCTGGGTGGTAATTGGCAGACATTTTACAGTTTTGATAATTGTCGTTATGCCATTATGTATAGATACATAACTGGGAATTATTGTGAAATACTGCCAGACGGCACTATTTCAGATACTCTCGCAGATCATGTTCCCTATCTAGGTGAAGCATGCACCTGTTGTGTATGTAGAAGATATTCTAGCATTATTGTTGCTGCAAGTTCATGTGCAAATGATTTAACTGATTCTCTTACTATGGGGATGAGTGGGTCAGATAAATTAGAAAGTGTGAAAGACGTCACAACATCTGAACTAACATGTGACATGACTTTTGGAAATAACCCTGAAAATCTTGTTTGTTCTCGTTCAGATGAAATTGAATTACCCAGGGAAAGTGAGGCTTCTGTTGTTTCACATTCATTTAGTGACGATGAAACACAGATGCCCTCTTTCTCTAGGACAGATATGTACCTGCCTGAGAAGTCATTTCAATCATTTGAATTTGATGACTTTGACAGTCAGTTGCTATTTGAGCCTGAGGGAGCAGATGGTATTAGTTTAAGTGATGCTGAAACACAGTGTCCAACTAATTTAAGCCATGCACATGCATCAGCTGAATTGATTAACCCTACCATCAGTAAAACTGAAATTGAAATACCATCTGAAGTGCAGGAGACATCTATTTTCATAGGTTTAAAAAGGAAACAGAATGAAGAGTCAAGTGATTCTGATACTGGCTCTTCTCATTCTGAAAGACTTCTTAAATGTATGAAATAAAATGTGAGATACTTCCAATTTTTATACGACCGCAAAAAAATCTTGAGGTCATATTGGTATGATGTTGGCGTCGTCGTCGTCCGTAGACACATTGGTTTTCGCACTCTAACTTTAGTTTAAGTGAATGGATCTCTATGAAATTTTACAATAAGGTTCAATACCACAAAAGGAAGGTTGGGATTGATTTTGGGGGTTATGGAACCAACAGTTAAGGAATTTGGGGCCAAAAATAAGCATTTTGTATCAAGCTGCGCCCAGCGAACCATTTTATTTTTAAATACTGTTTGAGTTATAGAATAAGTAGGTTGGCTAATATGGATGTTGCTGCTTAAATGTATACTGGTTGAATTACTTTTTCAAAAATATTTAATTTTACTTTTTATATCTTGAGTTTATCAAAAGGATATCTTTATTCTTCATGATCATTTGCCACCCATTATCACTTATTCATATATTATATTATATTGTTGCACTGAAATTAAACAAGTTATTAACTGTTGTATCTCACAGTATGTCAAACTACACAATTTATGCCAAACAAACTTTGTAGAAAGCTTTTTATAAAATGTTTTGCATGTCACAATTATACTATTATATTCTCTACATACATGTACATGACATATCATTTGGAATATACTTTTAAAGTTTTCAGTTGACTGTGTTTATCTATATTTAAAATTTACTAATACTAAAAAAAATATTTTTTAATGGAACGACACCTAGATAGATTTAATGTCGAATTTTGCAATCACGTATCTATATATATATTGCATAACAAAACATCTAAAAAAAAGGAAACAATACTGCTCAGGGTTAAAGTGAAATAACTGTTATTTACGGTGAGAATACCCAAATTTTCATGCTTATTAATTTTAAAAACACTTGCAATTAGAAATGCACGTTCACAACTTCAAAATGATGTGAAAATTGAATAAATATAGAGTAAATCTTTTAATTTTACATTTTTTAGCAACGAGGGTAATAAATATTTGAAAAACCTTGAACTGTCAAAATGTCAAATTCTCCACAGGCCAATACCAAATTAAAACATAAAATTGTGATTGAAGCCTTTAAAAAATTTAGCGGAAGTCAGAAACTTATTCATAGCTTTTTGTGTCAAATATCTGGAAAACAAAAAGATTCTGTCAACAAAAGTAGTCTTTATTCGAGAGTGAAAAGGACATATAATACAGCCAAGCGTCTCCAACATGCGCGAAACTTAACCAGATATCAGCAATTTTTGAATAAAGATTTCTTGTTTCCGAAAAAGGCTGTAAAATGTATAACACATATAAGTGAAATAGAAAAAAAACTGAAGAAAGCAGAAATGAACGTAACTTATCTTTTTGAAAGAAATGATGCACTGAAAAACCAGAATATTGATTTACAAAAAAGGGTAACGAAATTGATTAAAAAAATAAAAAGGCAGGAAATTGGAAATTTGAAAATTAAACTTAAGTTAAAAAAGAAAAATATATGTAAAATGGAGGAAAAGAGCACACAATGCAACACCATCAAGAGAGAATTAGACAATTTAAGGTCCGAGTTAGATTTGGCTACTGATGAAAATAATAATGGTAACGATTCCGTTAAAGATGTTTTAAAATGTCGCAGTAATAAAAAAGGAAGACCATATACTGACAAACTAAGAGAATTATACTATTTCCTCAGTAGCAAAGGTGTTGGTATAAATAATGTAAATTCAGTGATAAGATCAGTTCTGTCACTTGTTGACATTGAGATATCTGACCTGCCAGGTAAATCAACTGTAGGTAATATGTCATCCGAAGTTGGTCTGGTTGCACAGCAGCATTTGAATGAAGTATTGGCATCTCCTGACTATTTTACAATGCAGCGAGATGCCACTACTAAACGAGGGCACCATTATTACACAAGCCAGCTTACAACAGATGAAAAAACCTTTACAGTAGGTGTTGCTGAGGTTATAGATGGGAAAGCCACCACATATGTATCATGTGTCAATGAGACTTTATCTAACATATGTGATCCTAGGACAGTTCTTAATAAAGTGTCAAGTTTTATGACTGATAGAAGTGCAACTGAGCAAAAAGTAAACAACATTTTGAATGAAGCAACAGATAATACAGCCAACTCTTTTAAATGTTCTGTACATCCGTTGTTACAGTTTTCCGATGTTTGTAAGAAAGAACTAGTTGATATTGAAAAAGAGTTCAAAATAAAAGGGTTTGGCAACGAAAGGCCGATTTTCTCTTCCACAGAAAACCTTATTCGATCAATTTCTAAACTTATTTACAAAGATGGCACAGGCGACCCCTTATATGTTCCTACCTATTTAAGAGAAAAGGGCATAATAAACATTCCTATTGTTAGTTTCCGTGGCAATCGCTTTAACACACTTTTCTTCAATGCTGCAGGAACCTTTTTTTTGCAGAGCCATTTGATGAACTATTTTAAAACTTCAAAATGTACATTGAATTTTACAGAAAATTATATTTTTAATGCATTACAAGATGACAATATCTTGGCCATCTGTAGAGCATTAGGAATTATTTGTAAAGTTATTACTCAACCATACTGGAATGAAGCGGTGAATGAGAACAGAAATGCTCTACAGATGGAACCAATTTACCAACTTTTAATACAACTTTTAGAAACAGCTTCCGAAAATCCGTCACTTCTTCTTCAAAATTCTATACAGCTTCTTCCTGGACCAACATTACCACTGGATCCTGTTACTGAACTTTTATTTAAACATTCATCCTCTCTTGATGCAGCTACTGAGTCTTTTTTGAAACGCTTTTGTATTAAATTAAAGGAAAAATCTAAAACTTTATTTAAAGATTTCCTTCCATCTGGAAAATTTTTTCAACCTTCAGATGATTTAATTGAGTCAACGAAAACATGTCCATCCAACAATATTTCAGTGGAGAGAGTATTTGGTCAACTTGACGCTGAACTTAAACGTGCTCCACACTGTACCTTACGCACTGTAGAATCGAAATTATTGTATAAAAACAATAAAACAGCAGAATGGTTGAAGGAAAAAAAAGAGTCTGAAAAAGGTCAAATCATAAACAAAGCAGTACGCAATAATGCAGAATTTATAAACAATTCCAAATTGAAACAGAAAAAACTTCACGAAAATAGAATAAAAATAATTGAAGAAAGACAAAAGGCTAAAACAAAAAGAGAGGAAAAAAGAAGGCTATCAAAATGCAAAATGCTTAAAGATTTGGAAACAATTGGAATTTGGAAAAATAAAAAGATAATCGAAGAAAATATTTGCAAAATTAGAACCAAAAAAGATAAAATTTTGGCTTTGAAGTCACAAATTAATATGGTGAAAGAGCATATCAATCTCGGTCACAATAATAAACATTTGATACAATTTAGTAAGAAAGGAAAACAACATGACACAAAAGATTTAGTTGAGAATTTAGTAAGCCTTATCAAGTTGATGAATGATAATGAAAATGGAAAAAATAAGGAAACAGAAGATCTCATAAATACCATACGAAATCAGCCATCTGGAATCATTGGAAAATATGTTTCACATACTTGGAGTGACCAAACATGGAGGGGCAAAGTTCTTTCTTTCAACGATAGGGAATTTGAGGTTATCAATCATCTATTTTAAAATTTTGACAGTTCACTGTAATTTTAATTTCACAATTTTTTTTGGTCCAGTACACATGGGGTATATAAGTGTTTTCCTTAATCTCACAATGTTTCTGAAATGGTATTCACTGTACTATTTCCATATATACCAACTTGGTAATCATTTTTCCTTTAATTTTGCATGTAGAACCTGCATGAAATCTTAAATAGAATAACTACCCACTTTGTTTTCTTGTGAAATACCCCTAGATTTTTTGTTTGCCCTCAGTTCCTCAGTTATAGTCGAATAATAATTACTGATTTTGTTTATATAGGGATTATAAACAAAATTAATGCATATTAATTACGTGCCAGTCTTCCTAAGAATTTGGCAGTGGTGAAAACATGAAAAACATGATACCGCCCAAGTTTACAAGTTTTTCAATTTAATTTCAAAATATATAATGATGCACGAATATTACATGCATTTCTATTTCCTGTTCTGGTACATGTAATTCAAGTTATAATTTGGTTGAAATGCACTTGAAATTAACATATAAGGGGAACCAACTCTGTAATTTGCTATTAGTTCTAACTGAGAATGAAGATGATATTCAAAATAGTATGGTGAGACCGTCAGCTTTTTTTCAACACAAATTCTTTTAAATTGCCCGATTCTTACAGAGACTGATTCTTACCAAGACTGGCACTTAATATTCAATTAGTTACTTTGTATATTTACAGGTCTATCCTTATTTTCTAATTTTTACTCTCTTTTAATTATCTCATTTTAACATTTTTTTTTTGGAAGAAAATGAAAAGCATTAAATAATTAGTATCATATTCAAATAGAGAGAAGAATTTAACATAAAAAAAATGTAACTTTATTTTCTTCTGAAAATATCAATATCAGTGACACAGTTTTTATGATTTGGTGCTTGTAATGTATTGATGAGAATAAGACATGCATATGCTTAATGCTTTTATAATCTGCTTTAATTGCTAGTTGCATTCATGCTTTTATAACATTTTTATGTAAGCCTTGCAAGCATAAAAGTTATTTTCAATTTTACTATAATTTATCTGCTAAGCTTAACTTTCTTTCAATATAGTCAATGGACAAGACACGCTTCAGCTAGTTGCACATGCTTTTTTAAATTTATTTAGCAAAATGTAGATGAAAGCACATTTTTTTATTCCAATGAATAGCATAATTATACCATTGTTTTATTTCAGATTAGCTACTGGGACAGTATTCTACCAGAAAACACAGGGGAAGTATACTGTTTGGAACTGTCAGAAATATTGGAAGATATAGATGATGGAACATTTAGTTTTGATGGTAAGGTTACTTAATTCTAATCACTTCTGTAAGTCAATGTTGATTTTAAGAGAAAATTTCATTTGTTTAATTAAAAGTTATTCAAAATCAAAAGCAGTATTTACATTCCTCAGATTTGAACACAGGCACTTGTCTCAGAATTTTTTCCCCCTATATACCTTAATATTAAGGTATATAGTAAAAAATAAATTTGAGACAAGTGCCTGTGGATTGGAATCAATGATTCATTCAGCTTGGACCAATGCATGATTGCATTTGTATATATTCCTCCCAGGATACATGAACAAAAAATGAACATATGAAAATGTTTGACATTTTGATCTCTTCCTTTTTGAATAGATTTGTAAGATGAAAATAAACTAAATGTGATTTTATTTATTTCAGATAATAAACAGTCTTAAAATTTAAAGCTTTGATTATTTTGAAACAGACTATAACAGTGTTAGGTAAGTAATGCAGTTAGAGTTACCTCTCTTTACTTACAAAATTTGTATAAATTAGCTGGAGTTACTTCCCATTACATGACAAAGTTGATCAACGGTTTTATTTTTGAGTCACTTTTAATCACCAAATAGTATACACCAATGAAAATCAGTGTTACATTTGAGAAATATAAGCACTTAGCCATTTATATACCTGGTTTTAATAATCATTTGGGTAACTTTAAATTTTAACTGGAATACCTACAAACGGTCAATTTGTTAAATGATTTACAGTACATTCTTGCAAAATTTGTCAAAGTGCTTAAATAGCTATAAAAAACATGGTATAGCAAATGATCTGCCACATTTGATATATTAATTCTTTAAACAAAAAGCTTTTTAAGAATTATAAAACTCAGATGGACTAAAAATGAGTGGAAAATTTCGTTGGTTATTCTTTTGGACCAAAGTGACATTGATGAAGATAAATAAATAAAAGCGCCTCTGACGCAGCAAATACAAAGCATTATTTTCATTTTAAGCATACGAATATAAATGACTAGCCATTGGTTAAACAATCGAAGTTACAAGATGAAAGAATTAATGCATGAAAAAACAATAAAAGGTAAGAGACATACATGCAAGTCCAACTATTGCAAGGGTTTCGTGAAAACATATTTTCACCCGAAAACAAAATAGATAAGTCAAAATAAAACTTTACCCTATCACACTAGGTTTTCGCATGATATCCTCGTTTCTAAATCTCGTAAGCCTTTATCAAGGGATAACAAAGTTTTGCCCCGAACAGAAAAATGTCTAAAATGTTGTGACTTTTCTTTCGAAATTGTTTAACAGCTAGTATGGCATCATTGTTATGGATAGTGGTATATAAATGCATTGGTGGTTATAGCTACAGGTAACAGCAGCTTGATTTTTTATAAATGTATCACAATATAATTTCAACTTCCGCAATTCGTATAATCTGTTAGGTTTCTGTAAGTCTACATGGTATTTTATTTTACTATGGCAATGAGACTTGGCAGTTCATCAATTTACGGAAAAGTCATTACGATTGACGTTTTTCTTTTGAAATACTAAGCTTAGTTAAGCATGCGATAAACCAAGACAGGATGATTTATATACTTTTCAGATAATAAAAATAAATAATTTTCGTGTTTTACTTAGTATCTCGAATTGTAAGATAGATGGATAGAAGCTGTAAACAGCAAAATTTATAAGCCATACCAGATCTACAAAAGTGTTAAACATGACCAAAAAATTAGATGACCTTAAGGAGTTATTGCCATTCAATGACAGTTTTTAATTATTTTGTGTTTTTGCTAATTATCTAGAAAACTATAATAGATAGAACATTTACAAAAAAGATATTTTGGTCATGAATTATATTCTAGTCCATGATGTTATCGAGTGACCATTGTTGGAGATGCACATAGATCTGGGTGTGCACTTTAGAGGCTATAGTTATACAACCAATTATTATACATGTATGTAAAGAAACAACGTTGTTATCCATTTATGTATACGACGAAACATGGCCCACTTTTTTTAAACTATTGAAATAGTTCAGTAGCAGGGGATAAACATAGATAAGACTGTTTTATTTACAAATGTTTTATTTGATAAGGCATCAAGTAAAATCCTTGAATTAGATAGTATGGTACTTTTTATCAAGTTCAAAATGAGAATATTAGGTTAAGTTCATACATATAGCAATATGGAAACATTCATTCTCTTTGGAACAAACATAAACATTAAGATATAACTCTAAACATCAGCAGATGAGTTTTTTTACTTGCTACATGCAAAGGGACACGTGGCAGAAACTAACTGTAAAGAACGCTAATCCTTCCATTCCTAATCTCTATCAGTGCAATACCCAAAGTTAAGATTAATTTCTTGTTTCAATAGAATAAAATTATCTACTCACAACATCTCTGTCATCCACTAAAGCACCAATCATTAGAAGTCTTTTAACTACGTGGTGATGACCTTTCCTAGCTGCAACATGCACTGCAGTTTCACCTTCCTAGAAAAATTAAAAACATTTATGAATTTTTTATCAATATTTTTAAATTTTGTATGTCGTAATGGGTCGTGCTCATCTTATGTCTCTTTACAATATTTTAAAAAGAAAATTTCTTAAAAATAGGATCACAGGGTGGCATTAATCCCCTTTAAATTAAAAAAAAATATCTTTTTTCTTAAAAATGTTGTGACTTATTAGAAATTACCTTTAAATCTTAAAGTTTTATATGAAGAGGAGAAGCAGCAAACACAGGTCTTAAAATCATTCTACGCATTACATCATTAATAAGTTGGTAAATCGTTGTATGCTATTGATATCAATTCACAGGACATGTTTTCAAAGAACAACTTTGATTAGATACACCAGACGCCAAACTTTTGGAAAACCAAATATATAAAACTTTTAAAAGCATTAAAAGCGAAATACGCCTATCATTATGAGTAAGTTTATCTTCTTTTTTTTTTTTCTTTCTTTTTTTTGCTGGCATCCGTTACTGAATTAACTGTTGACGGTCAAAATCGGTACAACAAACTAATGAATTCTACCATCGTGTTGAATCCCAGATTGTCAATATCTCGCTTTAACGAGAGACTTGCATGACAGCAATACAGTGTATTGTAGTTAACACTAACACATCAATTACAAAAAGGAAAATTAAAATCTTATTAGATGTAACCAGACTGCTCCGGTCCAAATTAAGCAGATCCTGAGGAAGTAATAAACGTTTTGGTGGAAAGACCCAATTATACAAGTAATTCCAGACGCTTTGGGAAGATAAACAGTTACGGACTTTGTTTCAGAACCATACCTTATCTCTTATAGTAACATCACAACGCATGTCAATCAATCTCATGACAGATTCTATATGTCCTTCTTCTGCTGCTAAAAATAATGCAGTTCTGTCCGACTGTAAAATAAATATAAAATCATATTAAAGTCTTTGTGACTGGGATATAAACTGAATTAACGGATTGTGTTATATATAATATTTTTTTATTGATGTAAAATCGAAATGTCAAAAACTATCATAAATCTGTACCATTCAATTTATTGAGACCGTTGCTATTCAATAATATGATGTAAACAATAAACTTAGTTTTAATTAAAACGTAAGATCTGTATATTTAACATATTAAATGAAGAATTGTTTGGTGCATGGTGTTTGCATTTCTGCAAAGGAAAATAAAACGTGAAACGCATTCAATTTGCATGAATTAGAACCCACATTGTGATTCCCGATTGCATTAGTATTTTCCGAAAATCAAATATATTAACTTCGCATTTTCTATTTTTTTAGCAATCACAATCAAAAAAAAAACGCAATAATAAAAGAGTCTTATCTTATTATATTCAAAATTATTGTGTTACCTTTTCCATTTCGTCAACTTTAAAGTCTTCCAGAGATTCAAATATAAAATTCATGATATGGACGTGACTGTTCTGTGCAGCACAATGAAGAATTCCCATTCCTTGCTAGAAGTATAATATCAAATGAACAGAAATATACACAAATTAACAAAATGCTGATTGCTCCTTTCTAATGAAATTGTTAACAATTGATCTCGAATTTGGGTTCTCGAACTAGTGAAGCAAGAACAGCCTACCCATCTGGACCACCTGAGATCACCCTCACCAATCTTAAGTTTTGTGTGTTGTAGTTTTGACCTGTTGTTTGTCTGTTGGTTTTTCCCTTATGGTCATCATAGTGTTGTCCGTCTTTCATTGATTGACTTATGGTTTTTTATCTCCATTTTTCATGCCTACGTCTCCTTTTATTTATATTGATAAATTTTAATGAAAATAATAAAATTCAATAATATTGCAATTTATAGAGGCCCAATAAATGACATACTACAAATCAAATGAAAAAAAACCTGTAAACAATGTCATAAAAACAATACACTGCTCTAGGTCATAAAAGTAATTTTCTAGAAGAATAATCAGTTTAACTTCCAATACGACATAAACCTCTTGCTCTAAAAAAAAAGTCATCACTTACTTATAAACTTAACACTTACTCACTAGATGTCTCTTTGATTTGTTTTGGGGTTTTGTTTTTGCGTCATTTGGTTGCTGTTTAATTGACGCATTCATATACTCCAAACATTTAAAAGTGTAAGCTAAAGTTAAAAGAATATTTAACCCTTTTAAGTCGTGTCATGTGACATGTAGTTAACAATATACGTTTCCTTTCTGTTCTAAATTATTTATTGCGCATTGGCCTAATTATATTATATTATACTTGTATTACGTCAAAACATATTTTTTCTATGTCAATTTTCAGCTATTTCAATATACACCAGACAGACTAATTTTTTAAGGTATACAATAATTTTGTTAAATTGACGTAAGCATGCATATTAAAATACAAAAAAATCTAAAATAAAGTAACGTTATATGTAGATCGTACCTTATTTGTACACCTGGGGGTAGCACCACTGTTGATTAAAAACTTCATAGCTTCCAAATGGCCAAACCAGGCTGCCCATAGAACCGGTCTCATCCCATACTGTTATAAATCAGAAGTATTTTTGTACATATTTATATTGGTAATATTTATGTTTTGTTAGTCGCCTGACGTCAGAATTAATATACATATGAACAAAACGGAACATGTCGGAATATATCAATGAAACAGGAATTTAACAAACGTAAACAGAAAAATGTTAAATAAAAGAGACAAGCGCGAACAAATCAAATAAGCACGTCACTAGAACTATAAAAAATTAAAGATTTCATACTTAAAAAAAATATTTCGGAAATCTATATATTGAACACATTTTGTGATTTTTTTTGATTTTTTTTTTTCTAAAATCACGATTCTGACTTCCCAGTAAAGTTAATCGTTTCCCCTTTTCGTTGTTATATAGGTATGAATACATATTTATAAAGAAGGTGATTTTGGGGTTTTGTGCTATCAACAAGTAATATCTTCATACTAACTGCTGACTGTTCAAAACTCTGTTCAAACAAAAACGGACTCCTGTGACAGGTCAATAAACAAAGGTTCCAAATACGAAACTATAATAATCGAGATTACAAATTAGAGATACGACAGTCAATCTTTTAGATGGGATTGAAGATAAAAATATGTAAAGAGCACTATGCAATTGTGAATAAGATTTTTTATTTTTTTATTAACTTTCCAGTAACCGACTTTGAGGAGTTGTGGACTCGAATTGCAATTTGACAACAGAACGAAGGAACGATTGAAGGAATGCACACAACAAACGAGTGTACAATGAAGGAATATACATGACGGTAACCTTACAACCACACTTCTTTATAAATATAAAGTTTGTATCTATTTTTTTCAATTACTTTCGGTAGTTCGATGCCAATATTAAAAAAGATTGAATGCAGTGTTTTGATCATCGCTTCCAACGTCAATTCGTTATATAAAAGTAAGAACGAAGACAATTTGTCTAGATGATTTGTAGAATACATTTCTTAATCAATTCTAACACAGACTTTTTTACAAATTTTTCTACCTTGAATGGAAAAGTTAGCATACCAATATTGCGATTTTAATTTAACTGTTATTTATTTCATGTATCAGAATTATATACTATGTATTGATTTTTTTGAAAAAATATTTTTTAAACTAAACTCTTTAAACTTTTGGTGCACCAATAAAAAGTAATCTGAAAAAGCCGTTCGCCCATTATAGTATTTGTAAATTTTTGGATAATAAAAAAGCAACGTGATGCACAATACTTTTCATTTTTGCAGATAATCTTTAATATTAATGCGATTTAAATTGTTCTTTCAATAAATAATTGACAAGGTTTTGGAGAAGTATAACAAAACAACAAACCATGTACAATCATGAAACAATATAATAATTAAGATTATCCAATACAAACAGGAATGAAAGATAATAAGGGTTTAAGGATGTTCGCTCCTCTTGTTTTTAATGTTTTTGCCAGATATTCGGAATCCTCTGATTTTATCCATGTAGTGCCATTAAAAACTTTGCCCGCTAACCCCTACTTTTCTTTTCATAATTTTATAACATATTGTTTAAAAATTCATATTAGAAAATCTTATAAAATTCTTGTTATTTTATCATTGTTTTTGAAAGAAAAAAGGTGCAAATGTTAAATATATGAAAAATTTAGAGAGAATCATTTCTCCCCAAATTTTCAATGGCTTATATCTCGAAAACATTTTTTCTGCTTTTTTAGTTCCTTTATTTATATACTATCAATTCATAATAGTCTTTTAAAAAGCTTGTTATTTTGTATAAGAATTGCGAACATCCTTAAGTTAATATGATCGATTGATTAATCGTTGCTTGCTTTATGTCCAGTGGTGGTTGAAGCTATGTGGCAGCGACCTAAACAATTTAGAAAAAAATATAAATAATAATAATATATGTGAATATACTGAAAAGGAAAAGAATATGCTTTCATCGTCTTAACAATATATTTTCCCGCCATTTTTACTCTAAGTCGTACCTTATCTGTTGCTTCTACGTCTGCCCCAGCGTCAACCAATTTTTCTAAGATGTCTAGGTTACCGTTAGCTGCAGCCCAGTGTAAAGGTGTTCTATCCAACTGAAACATTATGAAAAAAACCTATTGCGAATATTCGATGAAGAATCACAAATTAGACATAGGGTATTAAAGATAAAGCTAAAAAAAATCTAATATCAAGTAAGAAACTGCAAATTGAAAAATTAGGAGAAATATTCTGGTTCTTATTTACTTCAACCAAGTTAAGAAATATGGTCAACAAAATGAATAGACATTTTCAAGTTAATCAGAAATAAATTTTGAAAAAGTAACTTTTAAAAATACAAAATACACGTAGTATGTTTTTTACTTCATGGGAAATTATTTGACATTCATGCTACAAAAAACTATAAAGTAAAATGAACACTCACATTATTTTTGCAATTGATGTCTACTTTTTCTCTTAGAAGCTTTTTGATTGATTCCAAATCATTATCTTTGGCAGCACTGTGAAAATTAATTTCACTTTTTGTCACTGAAATAAAAAATGAAATACTGTAAATTCTAGAATTGATGCGTGTATTAAAAACCAAAATTCGACTCTAGCTATTACGCTCGGCGCTGTTAACTGAGTCGTTTCTGTCGCACTGACAAGAACATAGTACATTTATTATCAACAATATAGTAACTGACATTGGTTTTTTATTATTATTATAATTTTTTTAGGGAGGGGAGGTTTTAACCTATTCAAAAGAAACGCTTTTAAAGAGGTGGTCATTCAATTCAGTCTACAGTGATTTAAACAGATTTTATGACAATGAAATTATCAATGAGAGTAAGAGAAACCAAATTTGGTTAGTTTCTTTTTGAAAATGGTCATCACCGAAGACAGACATAAGTGAATATATAAAAATAAGATGTGGTATGATTGCCAATGAGATAACATAACTCCACCAGAAACCGAATGACATAGAAGTTAACAATTATAGGCCACCGTGCAGCCTTCAGAAATGAGCAAAACCGCATAGTCAGCGTAATGACAAATGTAAAACAATTCAAACGAGAAAACTAGCGGCCTGATTTATTTACAAATCAATGAACGAAAAACAAATATGATATACAGCAACAAACTTCAACCACTGAATTACAGGCTCCTGACAGGCAAATACAGAATGTGGCGGGGTTAAACTAGTTTGCTGACGCCAAATCCTCCACCTAACCTCGGACAGTGGTGTAAAAGTACAAAATACTGAACAAACTATAAAAATCAGTTGAAAAGGGCTTCACTCATCAGATAGATACAAAGCAGAAAATCATCTAACAAAAACACAGACCGGACTTAACAGGTTATTTATACACCACGCAACAAAAAAGACATTCAGTAAAGATCTGAGAGTACTCGCAGTTACTGACAGCTAGTTCAAAACCAATAACATCTAATAAAAAAAATCATGCATCTAAGACTAAGATACCAATCAATACACAACCAACAGCCAATAGATTTAGTGTAAAAACGCCATTAACAGTCAGAGAAAAAAATGACCTTGTGCAATGCCAAGATACAGGCATCGGCAGATTGTAGAGTCATGAATGTGCATATGTTACAGTATATAACCATAATATTTAGTTTGATTTTGATTTACTGATAACAAAAACTATAATTAATACTCAAAGTTTAATTTAAAATCTATAATTATACCAATAAAAACAATATTTAAAGATCTGATTACAATGTTGAATTGGTAACCATTTAGAATAAGTTTATGCAAAGGATCGATAAGTTTACCCGGATCGTATCTAAATTTCCGGGCTCGGTAAACAACATCTCCATAAAAATTTGAATGTGCTATCCTGTCTGAAATAAGTTTTTTACAGGAACAGCTAAACTTCCAAACCAAAGCTTTGTATCTATGGAAGAATTTAGTAAAGGTTTTAAGTAATTTGTGATAATGAAATCCGACTTGATAATTTACCAGTACTTCATAGATTACGTTCATTGAAATCCAAAACGTCACAACAGACACGGGAATAGCGAACTATTTTGTTATATACGATTGCTGTTTATAACAATAAAAGAGAGATAGTAGAAATCGAATTCTAAACATTTAAGGTCATCTCTTACTGTAGAACGACAGAAGCAAAAAATAAGTCAAAATATGTAACAGATATATAATATTACAACATAATATTCTATCTTAAATGCATTAATATGGAATCTATTTGTATGTAGTAAAATAAAGCTTAAAGCTAGTGTTTATGTAAATGGCATTAGAAAGAACAGTAATTTCCTATTTTGAAGTGTTGAAGAGAAACAATTTCTAATATTGATTCGCTTCAATTCAATCTATATTATTACATAACAGGAACTCGACTAGACTTAAAGACAAAATTAACAGAACTGACATTCCATTATATATTTCTAAAGCGAAGCTAATAGGATTTTTGGATATGAAAGTCGGTTAATTCACATCTATTCTAGACTTCGGAATATTGTCTAATTTGCGTTTATCACACATCTTATTTTTCGTTGATGTGCATCCTGCTCTTAGAAACGAATCTGAAAATCTGCAAATGTTAATTCTTCGCAAGAGGTCAACTGAGTCATTATATCTTCACTTCAAAACATACTATAACATAACATAACAAGAATGCTACTTGCCTTAACTATTATCTTACCTCCTATACATTTCTAGGAATATGTTTGGTTAAAAGCAACCGCGTGGAGACCGTGTATATTCCGTATGTGGTTAGTAGGTGGGGCTAATTTCAATACACGGTTAGTAGTGGTGTTACGTCCCTTTATAAAAACAACACGGTGGGGGGGGGGGGGGGGGGGGGGAATCTTAAAGGTTTCAACAGACGAAAAAATTGATGATGAACGATTGAAATAAATTCATAAAACACATTTAAAGCTAACAAATTGTTATTGTTGGCGTTTGTTTTTTGTATTATAATAGACCAATAGAAGTAGGTTCTTAATACTAACGGTATTGAAGACTTGATCACTTTGATGGGCCACTATTCCTAAAAAATACATGGTTAGTTACCATATAGGGTTAGCAACCATATGGGGTTAGTAAGAAGTTACATCCCTTTCAAAACAAAAATAACATCTGAAAGGTTTAAACAGACGAAGAAACTGATAATAAACGATTGAAATACTTAGTACAGTCATAAAACAAATTTAAAGCTAACACGCTGTTATAGTTAGCATTTGTTTTTGTAAAGACAAATGGAAGTAGGTTCTTAAACATGTTAAAACTAAGAATTGAAGTCTTTTAAACTTTGATAGGTCGTTAATCTAAATACCACATGTGAAGATTGTCGGTAAGATAAATTCGTTACACGGTGTGCTAGTGACCTAATACGATATATATGGGGTCAGTAAATTCCATATGGAGATTCGAGCTTCGCTCTCACTCCATATGGAATTTACTGACCCCATATATATCGTATTAGGTCACTAACACACCATGTAACTAATAATATCTAACGAACTGACATTCCTTTATACAATTATATTTTTCTAGAGAGCAGAGAATGAGATATTTTTTACGAATGGTATATCTACATGATCTAACCGTTGTCAATAAACATGATTTTTATTTTCAATCTCGACTGATTAAAATCAGATCTTTCACTCTGCTTAGACTTTTGTCTCGACAAAACATAGAGAGTGAGATCTAGTTTTAATCAGATTGGCTCTTCTTCCCAAATAAAGGCTCATACTAAATATCTGACTATAAAGAAAGTCTTACAAAGCTGATAAGATTAATTAATTTGTCAAATATTATATCCCTGGTTTTAAAATGTTTAGAAAAAAGAATAACTAAATTACCGAACTCCAAGGCAAATTCAAAAAGGGGAAACTCATAAAAACTGACAAAATCAAGCGCTATCAATCAACGGAACAAGTGAAAAACAAATGCCATATTCCTGACTTGGTTCAGGCATTTGTCGACGAAAATTACATTTCTAAAGTGAAGCTAATAGGATTTTTCATCAGTGGAAATAAATGTCGGTTAATTCACACCTATTCTACATTTCACAAATGCATGTTGTCCAATTTGCATCATCATACATCTAATTCTTGTATTTATCGTTGATATGCAAACCCTGCTTTTAGAAACTAATCTAAAAATCTGCAATTGTTAATTCTTAGCAAGAGGTCAAATGATTATCGTATACCTTCACCTCAATATATACTTTTACATAACAGGAATAATACTTGCCTTAACGAATACCTAATGGAACTGACATTCCATTATACAATAAAATATTTCTAGAGTGAAGCTGAAATATATTTTTTTAAATGATAATAAGCCGTTGTCCATAGACATGTTTCTTTTTAATATTTTTTCACTAGGCTTCGTTAGACATATTGGTCTCAACAAAACCGAGTGAACGATTTAATCTTAATCAGATTTGTTTGCTCGTCTTCCCCCAAAAAACTATGAATGGTACTACTAATATTTGGATTTAAAGAAAGTTTTAAAACGCTGAGAAGATTTATAAATTAGTCAAATATTCAATTGAAACGCCTATAAATGTTTCTAAGTGTTGATACATCTGTGGCTTTCAATGTTTGGATTTGAGCGTCCCTGATGATGATAAATCAAGAAAAACGCTTCGGACTCACGAAATTTATAAGGGTTATTTTCACCATTTAATACTGTTTTGTCATTAAACTCTTATTATGAGGCTTGTGTGGCAGTATATTTTCTGACCCCTAAAACGATATGAAATTTACTTTGAATAACATTTATTCGTACTAATGGTATGTCCCACCTTTATGACATCCGTATTGCAAAATGTTATACTAACGTGGATTAAGCAAACTATCTGTAACTATGATATTGGTGATTCTGTCAATTTTTTATATTGACTTTGTGTTTAGATTAGAAATACAGAATGTATAAACTGCTGTAGAAATCGGTAATAGATTCTTTAGAATTAATGCCAGTCAGTTCAGAATTAAAACTGACGCCAATTAAACATCTGCTCCTAAAATATGTTTACCTTTGTGTAGACATTTGTAAAATAATTTACTTTTTTATGGGCTAAATGTTTGAAAACAAATAAACATACGACGATGTCTTGAATAATTAAAAGGTGTCATCATTCACACATTTGTGCACATAAATATGAAGGGATATTAGAAAAGAGATCAAAATTGTCTATATTAATTGTTAACTATAGTTGCTTAAATCCACGTCATTTGGACTCTTTTGGATGTTTGTCTCATCGGCAACCATATCCCATCTCTTTATTTTATCTTCGTAAGGAGAAAACTTGTTTATATAGTGTCTATTCAAAACCAGAAGATTGTAGTTCATCTGTTGTTGGAAATTTTCTGTCATAAATGTACTCGCTTAAATTTTATAGGCCAAGTGGTTTTATTTTTGAATAGTTTCAAATTTTGGTGTCCTATGGCATCGTATTGCTTACTGTAGCGATTGGGATTTGTTTATTGTTGAAGGCTCTGCGTTTTCTTACAAGCCCTAGTTACTGCTTGAATTACTGAACAAGTAAAAT